CTTTTTCTAAGTTAGCGTAATATATAAATAGCTTAATCTAAGTAGCTTAAAGCTTAAATTAAGTAATTTAAGCGCTATAATAGTTATATATCCTTTCTAAAGTTTAAAACTTAAAGCTTAATTTAAGTAATTTAAGTATTATAATATAGCGTAGTTATATATCCTTTCTAAGGGTAAAGCTTAAATTAAGTAATTTAAGTATTATAATAATAGTATAGTTATATATTCTTTTTAAGGGTAAAGCTTAAATTAAGTAATTTAAGTATTATAATATAGTATAATTATATATCCTCTTTAAGGGTAAAGCTTAAATTAAGTAATTTAAGTATTATAATAATAGCGTAGTTATATATTCTTTTTAAGGGCAAAGCTTAAATTAAGTAATTTAAGTATTATAATATAATATAATTATATATTCTCTTTAAGGGTAAAGCTTAAATTAAGTTATTTAAGTATTATAATAGTATATATAACCTTTAAGCTTAAAGCTTAAAGCTTAATTTAAGTAATTTAAGTATTAAGTAATATAAGCGTTAAGTAATTTAAGTATTAAGTAATTTAAGTATTATAATAGTATATATAACCTTTAAGCTTAAAGCTTAAAGCTTAAATTAAGCTATTTAAGTATTATAATAGTATATATAACCTTTAAGTATAAGGCTTAAATTAGTTTATTAAGATTATTAAAATTATAATAGTAGCTTAAAAAGTTTAAAAAATATATTTTATATAAATTAAATAACTAACCTTAAGAGCCTCTTATTTAAATAATAAGTAAATATTTATAATAAGTAAAGTAAATTTATTAATTAGTAAAACTAAGGATATTATTATATATAAAAATACTTTATTATTTTATAGTAGTTATATATAAGTTTAGCTAAAAAAGGAGATTTTACTTTAACTACTTAATACTATAGGCTAGATTAATTAACTTAGTTACCTAGTTAATAGAACTAAGTTATTAAAATAAAGAGAGGTAAATATTTTACAGGGGTATAATATTAAAACCTTTATTATTTATTAAATATTTTATATATAGTAGTAGTTATATATATACCTAATTTAGTAATTAAAGGCTATTACTTTTATAACTACTAAACTAAATATAATATTTAATATTAAATATTTATTAAGGGGGAAAAAGATAATAAAGATTATAAGGTATTAAAAATAATAAAAGGTATATAAATTAAAGTTATTTATAACGCAGCGTAAAGCTTAAATTAAGCTATTTAAGTATTATAGCTAATTATGCCCTAGGCTAGGTAGTTAACGTAAGCTGCGTTACTTATATAATTTATATAGGATCCCGTATAGATTAAATATACGGGATCCCGTACACCTATGAGCCGCCGGAGCTCGGAGCGGCATTATGTAAGCAGTGAGGCGTTTGAGTGAAGCTGACCTTGTACCGTTTGTAAAGTGATGATGGCGGCGTGTTGTTTTTCTTTTTTAACGTTAATAAAGTATCAAAGAGTCAATTCATCATAATGAGTGTGATTAATCTCAATGAATGACGAAAGTAACTCGGTGGCTGCTGTATCGTAGGGGAATCCGTTGGTGACGTGAGGCGCCCTCCATCTCTCATCGTCAACTCCAACCCAAGCATGCCCGGTCAGAGCTAGCATCCGCCTACAGAATCGGTTGAGATCTAGACTACTAAAGTAATCAAGATGAACCAATGAATTCACCGGCTGTCATCTCTTTCAGCCTCCCCCGCCACGCCGATTATCAGGGGCACCAGGTCCATCCAATGCCGGGATGTGCAAGTGAGGTAGGTACCTGGGTACTATCTAATCATGGACATGCTGTATTATATCTGCTGTACACGTATGCATCAATCCAGAGCTCAGCATCAAGAAATTACCTAAATAAAGACAATCTCATACATTATGCTACTGTCTTATCATATCTCTCCGCACTTACACAAGTACAGTAAAACATGCTCCGCTGATAGATAATCAGCTGCCGCTGTCGGATGTCAAACCGTTGTCGGCTCACATCTCAAGATTACTACCCAAGTAGGCAGTATTCCCACACACTCACCTAAAATAGTCACCCCAAATCCCTTCTCATGTTATTCTCAGGGCGCGCCAACAAGCTACAAGTACGTAATTAGCGGGTCAGATGGCAGTTGGAGAAGCGCCAACGCCAGTCGCTGAGCATCGCGGTTATACACGGCGGAACCCCCGATCCCGGCGCCTCCCCCGAAACGGCCGGCCGGTCCCCCCAACTATCGCGTAAAAGCTCGCTGCTAATGGCGAGGACATGCCAATTATGGAGCGGTTGACAAATGCTTCTAGACCGGATTTATTGCATTATCGATATGGGGTTGGGGAAAATGGGTTGGAGGGGCTGGAGATGCATATGCAAGTGTATCGCTATCAAACGCCTTCCAGACCTCTACTTTGCTCACCTCCCTTTCCCTTCCTTCTTCATACTTGCTTCTGCTTGTACATGCACCGCACTTCCTGTGCTACAGTATCGCCAACGTCCTTTTCTTATAAACACAGTCTATTTGCACTTATTTTCTACCAAACGTATTACCTATTCGTACAGAAAAACAAGTACATACCAAGTGGCGACTCACGGTTGCTACCTGACCTATACACACACCCATACCAGACAAGGCTATATAAGCATCCATTCCGGTGTGATCTTAAGCCGCCACCATGCTCCCCATCACAAGAACTGCCCGTCTCAGGGCTCTCATAGCCACTCGCCATGGCGTCGCCTCGATATCCTGCCGTACAGCCAGATCACTACACACCAGATCAAGCCTCAACAGCGCCGAAGCAGCTGCCACAGCTCAGCCGGCTACACATGAAGTCGACTATGCCCCTTCACTACTCGGCGAGATTGCCGCGAGAAGAGCCAAGGCGGGCAAGCTAGTAGCAGGCATTGCTGCAGCGTCTGACAGTGACATGTTCAAGGGACCTGTAAGTGTGATATGAGCATAATAGAACATATTAAAGAGAGCAAAGCTGACCTGCTCTTTGCTCAATAGCAAACGGGGAAACCAAAGGCGAAAAGATGGGACAGTACGTCATAGACATATCATGCATATACATCGAAACTCTAGCTCATTGGCTGACAATTACAGATCACCTCAGTGCTGAGAGCAAAGCGAGGGAGCCCTGCTCTCTCAAGCAAGCTGCCAAGCATCTAAAACAGCCTGGACTCATCTCCCTCGGCGGCGGTCTGCCCTCCAGCGAGCTGTTCCCTCTCGACGAGATTGACATGAAGGTTGCCATGCCGCCAGACTTTTCAGAAAAGGGAACGGCTGCTCACGGACAAAGAGTCACCATTGGTAAATACGACGTCCGCGATCGTGATGGCACCTACGATCTATCCATCGCTCTCAACTATGGCCAGTCCACGGGATCTGCTCAGATGATTCGATTCCTCACTGAGCACACTGAGATTGTTTGCAAGCCCGCTTACGCCGACTGGAGAATTTGCCAGACCATTGGCAGCACCGGAGCATTGGAACAGGCGCTGCGCATGTTTTTGGACAAGGACCGTGGCGATTCCGTCTTGACGGAAGACTTTAGCTTTTCGACGGCTCTCGAGACCATCACTCCTCTTGGCGTCAAGGCTTTTGGTATCCCCGTCGATGACCAAGGCCTCATCCCCGAAGCCATGGACGAGCTTCTCACCAACTGGGACGCAAAGGCCAGGGGATCCAGAAAGCCGCACCTCCTATACACCGTCCCCTCAGGACAGAACCCAACCGGAGCAACCCAAGGTCTGGAGAGGAGACAGGCCATCTACCGAGTTGCGCAAAAGCACGACATATTCATCCTCGAAGATGAGCCGTACTACTTCCTCCAGATGCAGCCTTACACAGGCCGCGGCCAGCCCGACGCCCCTGCACCCAACAATGTCGAGGAATTCGTATCATCTCTGATACCCACATACGTCAGCATGGATGTCGATGGCCGAGTCATGCGAATGGATTCTCTTTCAAAGGTACTGGTCCCAGGATCCCGTCTCGGATGGATCGTCGCCTCGGAGCAGATTGTCGAAAGATACCAACGCCACGCCGAGGTCGCCAGCCAAGGACCAAGTGGCTTCTCGCAAGTCATTGTCCACAAGCTGCTGGATGAGACATGGGGCCACGAGGGCTATCTGCGATGGCTGATGAACCTGCGACTGGAATACACCAAGAAGAGAGACGCCCTGCTGGCTGCTTGCGAGGACAACCTGCCGCGGGACCTAGTTAGCTGGACGCCTCCTGCTGCCGGCATGTTTGTGAGTTTTGACTACACTTTTCTCTTTCCCTCAAGCTGCTACAGAATCGAAAGTAACTGACCCTCTTCATTGACAGTTGTGGTTTACCGTCGATCACACCAAGCACCCCAGCGCTGGCACCCGCAGCCTTGGGGAGATTGAGCAGGAAATCTTCGACTCGTGCATCAAGAGCGGCGTTCTCGTTGCCCGAGGATCATGGTTTGCCACTGAAAAGGACGCTCCTCTGCCAGGCCTGTACTTCCGTGCCACTTTTGCTGCGGCCAGCCCCGAGAACATGAACGCGGCGATTGCAAGGTTTGGCCAGGCCGTCAAGGATAGCTTTGGGAGGAAATGAAAGAAGGGGGTGATGACTTGTTTATGGAATCCAAAACTTGCATGATGGAGATTGCCAAGGCGTATGACGATGGAAATGGGTTTTTTTTTTTGTAATGCATTCAACATAGGGCGGACACCAATGCATGGCTACGAGTTGTAGATACAAACTGAGATTGGGAATTAGTTCCAAGGAATTCACGAGCTGTGATATCATCATAATGAGCTTTTGAAATAGACTCATTGTCTGTTATATACATGTGAAGGATGTACTGCTAGGTATCTTACAAAAGGAGGGGAGAAGATTAAGCGCTTACTACCTCGGATGCTTGCTTGCCGTCTGCCCTTCCAGCGTCCCCTGTTTCCCCTTTTCTTCCTCTCTATTTATTGTTTTTTCTTGTTGTTTCCGTACAAATTGTTTGTATATCTGCTCATTGGTCATTCTTAGCCTCCCAAAAGGCAACATGCACTCCCTGCGCCGGAGTCAGCACAATGTCCGTCTTCAACTTCAACTCGCCGCCATCAATCTCGTGCATGAAGCCCTGGACCCGGTCGAAGCGCTGAAAGATGCGGCATAGCGTGTATCCCATTTCCGTAAGCGCAAACTGCTGGCCGAGGCAGAAGCGCGGACCGGCGTTGAAGGGGATGAACTCGTGCGGCCGTGGATGCCAGGCGGCCCAGCGCTCGGGGCCGAAGACGGCCGGATCGGCGAAAGCTTCCGAGACGGGCGGGTAGAGATCGGGACGGCGCTGCATGACGAGGGTCGAGTATGCGACTCTGGTGTTTTGGGGGACGGATAGGGGTAAGGTGCCGTCGGGGCCGCCGCCTCGGGGGAGGGTAGTGTCTTTGAGGGCGACGCGGACGTTGAACGGGACGGGAGGGTATAAACGGAGCGTTTCGCTGAGGACGGCGCGGAGGTAGGACATGTCTTTGAGATGTTGGTAGGTGGGCAGTTGGTGGGTGCCGACGGTGGTGAGAATCTCGCTGCGAAGACGAGCGACAGCTTCTGGGTGGCGGCTCAGCTCATACATGGCAAACGACAGGGTGGAGGCGGTGGTGTCGCGGCCGGCGAGCAGGATGGCGAAGATCTGATCCCTTATAAGCTTGGGATCGCGGGTGAAGCCGGCGAGCTCGTGCAGGAGGGTGTAGTCCCTATCGGACTTTGTGTGTGCGGCGAGTTGGTCCGGGGTCATGCTCAGGACACGCTGGATGATGGGGTTGACCAAGTTTTCGATGTCTCTGATGCCGGAGTAGAAGGGCTTCTTGGAGATGAACGGGCGCATCAGGGGGGCGCGGACGATGATGTTTTGGATGCGCTGGACTTCGTTGAAGGAGTTCATGAGGGTGTGTTGAGGGTTTCTGCGTGCGTGGTCAGTTAAGCTTCAACTTTGATTTTGCAGTCTCATGAAAAAAGAGAGGTAACACATATCTAGAATGTTCTTACGTTAGAGATTTGAAATCAGTGCCCAGCAGAAAGTCAGCGGAAGCGTCAAGCGTAAACCGAAAAAAGAGATCTTTAATGTCGACCCGTCGTCTATCAGCCCGCGAGAGATCGACTGACTGATTCTCCCCATCCAACGGACCGCCGTTGGCGATAGCCTTGAACAACATCTGCACGTGCTTCTCGAAGCAATACAAGTCGCTCACGCGGTCTCTGGAGAACTGCGGCCTCAGAAGCTGGCGAGTGTCGTGCCAGGGGGCCCCATCGATGGTGAAGATGCTGTCACCGAGGAAGTCGTACCACTCATCGTGGAACCGCTTCCCCTTGCCGAAATCCTGGAACTGAGTTGCCAGTACGGCTTTGATGTTCTCGGGGTCAGCAGTGAAGCAGACTCGTTCGTTGAGGACACGCATCTCGACGGTCCAGAATTGGGAAAAGAGGACGTCTCGCCATAGCTCAAAGGTCTGCTGGCGGAATGTGGCGCGAGCACCGTAGTAGACGAAATCCAAGCCTGCGAGATGCGGTTAGCAGATTGGCTCTTTTGTGTTGAGATTGTGGAAGAGGCCGCTGGTTTACCAAACGGAAGAAGAGGCTTTAGAGAAGGGCCGTAGCTGCCGAGGCTCTTGATCTTTTGGTGTTCTCGTATACGGCCGACGATGAATACAGCCGTCCACACGCCAGCCGCGGCGAGGAGGAATTTCTGCAAGAGAAGTTCGATGAAGCCCATGGTTTCCTCGTTTCCAGTGGAAGTTGGTATATCGATTACAAGTATATATACTGTTGATTGAATATGTAGCTTAACCTCGAGCCGTGAAGGATGCTCGACCCCAGGGTGGAGGTAAGAGGGTTATTCAAGTCGAGTCGTAAAAGCTTGTTGAAAGCAAAAATCAAAGCACATGCAATGGTTCTCATTCGCTCACGAATTCACAATCGCGACCCATTACAAGCAAAGGACAAGCACAAGAGTTACGATTCCGAGCAGCAACTACGATATAAACGAGAGGTCGCGGGGCGAGCCTCGGCCGACAGAGGCCACATGCACATGCATATGGTCAAGAACGAGAGGGGGAGGCAAAACGCGGAGAAGCTGAGCTGCAGAAAAGGGCGCCGATTGATCTTCGGGCTCTTCCGGGGGAGCCAAACTAGTTGGACGGAGGCGAACGGTCGGCATTTGATGCCTCATTTCATCTCTGGCTTTGCGATGGTGTTTATGCGACAAGGATGGCGGGCGATTAAAGCAGTTCATCCCCATGGAGGCTGCTTCTGGGATTGACATTCGATTACTTTGATAATCCAACTAAGCTATAATTATAAAGATGGTATTGCTAAAGACAGAAAGTGCTTGGAGAATAACACCTCATGGGATGCAAACATGGACAGGATGTGTAGCTACCCTGCACTACCTAATTAATTGCTAATTTCCTGGTACAAGTCGACCCCGGGTATATGGCTGTTCATCTTTTTTCCATGTAGTTTACATTATGTAGTATTATTATCATTCGATTGAAACCATTCCGGTTAAATCCACGCAAACGTCGCCTGGCTACCAATAAACTACAATTCACAAATGAGGTACACACCACTCCGGAGACTGATCCTGCAACCGACCGTCTTCCCCGCCATGGCGTAAGAGCTACTCCGTGGAGATGTACCAGATACTTGAACTTTCCTTACCCTACTAGACCTATATCTTGTCATAGTTTACTACTAAGGAGAGATAATCATCTCCCCTTGGAACTTAGAATTCCATGAATCGTCACAACAACGCCATGTAGCAGAGTCTAGTGTTGGAATACTATCAGTCCTCCTACAAAGCCCACACAATAGCCGCATACCATATTCCGTAAATAGCCCTGAGACAACCCTGTCAGCTGTAAAAAATGAACATTCCAGACTTGCTTCCTGTCTGCTCATGTTTCGAAATACAGGCAGCCGGATCGGGAGCACCGAAATAGAGCAAAAGGCAACAGAGTTCAAGACATGGTGAATCAACGCTGAAGTCTCTTGCCCTTATTCCTTCATGAAAGCTATTTATTTTCTTCTTCTTTCCTTTCCTTCTCTTATACCCACGATCCCTGTATTGCCTCTATAGGATATAGAATATTGTCTAGTACTCACAACATCTGACAAGAACCCATTCACTTAGACGTCCACAAAGATGCAATAGAGTTAGTCCATATCAGTCCCGCCACAGTCCCACCAGCCACGAGGGTCAGCCCACTAACCACCCTACGCACTGACTCCAAACCAACCGTCATAGCTTCAAACTTCAACCTCCAACCTCCAACCTCAACTTCTCACCAAACCTCCGCTATCCCCAACCATGTCCAGCTTCCCCCCCGACTCCCACGCCCCAACTCCTCCCATCCTCCCCCCCAAACCAAGCAGCCAAGAGCCCTCCCGCATCGGCACTCCAGCCTCCGGCGCCCCTCCGCCTCCGCCGTCCTCCCTCTCCGAAGCGGGGCAGCAGTACCGCGCCGCCGTCATCCCGGGGGGCATCCCGTCCGCAACGCCACCTCCCTTACCATCCGTCGCTCGAGCAGCCGAGATCCCCGACCCAGGCGACCAGTGGCTGCCCCAAATCCTCCAAGACAAGTCGTAAGCTTTCGCCCCCCCAATCCTCCTCAAACACATCTTTACTAACCGACTTCTAAAACAGAAAGCAAGACATCGCCGACATCCTCACAAGCCCAGCCCTCCTCAACGCCCTCACAAACTCCCCCGCCTCCATCCACCCCTCCCTCCTCTCCTCCCACAACTCCCTCGCCGCCTCCCTCTCCTCCAACACCGACCTCGCGTCCCGCCTCGCCGACGCAGAATCCCGCCTCGCCCGCCAGCGCTCCTCCGCCCAGGCCCAGCTCCTCTCCATGCACGCCCTCGAGCGCCAGTGGCGCCAGAAACAAGTCGACATGGACCACGCCCTCGCCCGCTTCAGCCCCGCCGCCCTCTACCAGCTGCTCGCCCAGAGCGTCCAGGAGCAAGGGCTCGTCTGCCAGGCCATGGAGGAGAGCTTCCTCGACAGCGACGGCGTCGACGGCGGCGAGACGTCTGAGAGGGAGGCCGCCGAGTGGATACGAAGGTATAGAGAGGCCAAGACGCAGTTTTATCTGAGGCAGGAGCGCAAGGAGCGTTGGGACGAGGGCCGCGTAGGTGGCTGGAGGTGAAGTTGTGCTTTTTTTTTTCTTTTCTGGGAAGCGAAATGCTGGCGTTTTGGGGGTGGCAATAGCGGTTCCATGTAGTTTCCCCTCTTTGGGCATGTCTTTTCATATCGTTGACGAGCATCATGATTCGTAATTAGACGGGTGACTTGTATGACATAGAAATCCCATAGGAGAGCTTCTATTTCTTAGTTGGATTCATCATGTCTTATATGTAAGGGGGGAATCAAAGGCTGGGGCGTAGCCTTCCTCTGACCTAGCTGTTGCAGCTTTACTGAACATCTTGATGTTAAATATAACCTCCATAAGGGGGGAATATTTGGAGTCCGTCTTTTACACAAGAGTACAGTCAGATTCTGCACAAGCAAGCACAAGCATAGAGTCATTTTGCTGTAACCTCAATCTATATCAAACTTCATTCTAGCTTCACTTGGAAGCAGACAAGTTTTGGACGCTGCTATCTATGTCGTGGAAAATACATGTTGATGTGTTTTGTGCTTAGACAGAGAAATGTAAAAAAAAAAAAGAAAAAAAAAAGTCTATCATCAAGGACTCTCTGTCTCTCTAATGTGGCCTTGATAAAAACGATTGCGTTCAAGGGTATCGTATCAATGTTACAAATGTTGACAACAGGCTATGCAATGCTGGGGAATCTGGAATTCTTCTTCTTCTTAAAAAAAGTCTCTTTCATCTTTGTCAAGAAAAAAAAAAAAGCGTTGTGTGTCTCAAAACAGGTCAAGGGCCCGGGCCAAGACCCAAAGCACTGAATGGGCTCTTGATCATGTCCGGACTCCGAGGGCTCATGGGCAGAGCAAACAGGTCCTCCTCGGCATCCTGGCCATCAGGCTGCTGCTGCGGAGGAGCTGCGTCGCCTCGAAGGGCAGCATCAAGGGACATCGGCCCGGTTGGGCGGCTGCGTGAAATGGCCGCGAAGGATGACACGGCAATATCACCTCCTAGAGGGGACAGCATGTGGGACTGGCTCTCGGGGCTGGTAAAGGTGTTTGCTGTTTCGGGAGAACTTTGTATTAGTCCGAGATCACGAGTACAAACCGCATGAGATGCGCATATGTATGAGATGCTTTCTGGGGGAGGGGAGGAGAGGGGAACGGGCAGGCTTACCTGCTGGGCTCGGCACCAGATCTGCCGGCGACGTGGCCAGACGCAAACCCTTGAGCTTATCACCAAGGCGTCCAGTGACGGGAGAGCGGGGAGTCATGGCGGTAGGAGTGGGAGACGGAGGAGCGCGCAAGAAGTTGTCCACGATCCACTGCTTCTCTGCCAGAGCCATCTCGAGGCCCACGCTCTCGGCGTTTGCCCTCATCTCGGCCTCCATCTCGAGCTCCAGCTCCCTCAGGCGCTTCTTGGCCCATATCGTGTGCAAGACGCCCCGCGGGCCAGATTCCGCCTGGAAATACTCGGGGAAGATGGCCGGCAGGGGCTTGAGGATCAGGCTGGGCCGTCCTGGACGCGCAATCGTCACGGTTGCGGGCACCGGTGCCTCAGGAGGCAGCATGAAGTAGACCCGACGCCTGGCATCGTCCTCGTCGGTATCTCTGGCCGGCAGGAAGGTAGACTTGCCGGGCCATGACACCTCCCAGACGGCAGCGTCGACGACAGGGCTGGAGGGAACGGGGACGGGCTGGGCTGGCGCGGCTAATGCATCGTCGGCATGAATATCATGAGATTGAGGCCCGGCCTTATCACTGGAGACGACGTCGACGCTAGCATTCGTCGTATCTTGACCGGACAGGGTGGGGGCTGCGGCGGCGCCAGGATACCACTCGACCATCAAGATCTTGGTACCATGATCGCTAAACTCGAACCGAGCCAGATGGGTTGCGACAGGAGCCGTGTCCGAGCTTGCGTCAGGGGCTGTGAGAAGCTTGTCCTCGGCATCGTCCCTGGCGACGACAGCGCTATCGACGGCGGCGGGCGAGACGGCAACTAGCCTGTCAGGATCAGGACGAGGTTGATGTTGCTGCTGCTGTTGATGGGTCTGGTGCTCAGGCTCGGGTTCATGTTGCTTCTGCTCCTCCTCCTGCTGGTCACGCTCAGGGCCAAGGTCAGGCTCGGCGTCATGCTGCCTGAGTTCATGCTCGTGCTCAGCATCAGCAGCAGGCGGCCGAGAAGGCCCCGAAGATGGGTCCATGGCGAGAAAGCTGATAAAGGGCGACAGAAGAGAAACCCCGTAAGGCAGAGGGCTCGTTGGGTCAGAGGTTCCCAAGTGATGTGTAGCGGCAATGTCCGCTCGCCCGGGGGCTCGGTGACACTCGGGGCAATGAGTCGGAGGATCTTTTTTTCCTCTTCTTTTGTTTTTTTTTGGTTGCTTCTTTTTTTGTGGTCGTCGTCTGTCCGTTAGGGTCGCAGTAGCCGGTACATGATCGCTTGCTCTTTTTTCTCTGGGGAAGCGAAGAATCTCACGGGGGGGCTGGCTTGTGGCAGAGAGATTAAACAAGGACAGCGATTGTGTGGATGGAGGAGATTCGAGTTTGTGCCTTTGTGCTGACTTGATTGGAAGAGGGGGTCGGGGTTTAGGCCGTGCGGAGCTTCGGCGAGGTGCCACTGCCTTCCTTGCGAGTAACCGCGTGAAGCAGCTTCTCTACTATAGGTTTCTCTCTCCACGGGATTACTTTCGGTTTTCCTGCCTTTTTTTCTTCTCTCTTGTCTCCTTTCCTTTTCTTTTCTCCATCGCGGTTGGCCACGGGAATCTTCGCGGTCGCTCTGTCTGCTTCTTCGCGATGGTTGTACGAGTACGTACAAGTGAGTACCTACGACACAAGTGGTATCGCAATTTAGGGGCCAGGTTGAGACGACACGAGCCCCTCCAAAAGACCGAGGTCTAGTCCGAAAGACCTGCTCGCTCCATGATACTGTAGAGGTGAGGTCAACTCAGACTCAGTGGAGATGGGAATGGAACAAGACTATTAGGTTGTCCATGACTCTGTGTCTCCCCATCTCCCTCCATTAGTACTAATGACTACTAGACAGCTTCATCGCGCATCGATGGCATCTGCTTCTCTGTATCTAGTACTGCAAGGTATCCGCATATTCGCCTTGTCCAGCTCCAGCTCGTGATGAGCAATGTCCGAGTTAGTATGTATTATTTTAAGCAGCTTATCGGTCAGTCACTGGTGCGGCTCCATTTCTGCAGCTCCAAGTTGTTATTAATAGCAGCACCGTGCATGAGATTGAGTGGAAGCCAGTTCCCGTTCCCTTCCATCCTGCTGAGTCAGCGGACAGAGAGGGCAATCTCAGTTGGTTGTGTGTTCGAAACGCAAATGTTTGTTGCAGGACGGGCAATGTTACACCAATTGATGCATTTTCGCCGTCAACATGCCCCATCCCCCACATCGCCACCGAAAACCGCCGAGAGGGCCCATCGGCTAGGTACCGCATCAGCTGAGAGAGGGCGCTTTCATGTCCTTTGCGTATCTGTACTTGTACTTGTACTTGCACTTGCACTTGTACGCGAGCTGGGCTCTAGAAGCTCTTCCAGCAAAAGCCACCGGAATGAAGCCGTGATTCCCGATCCCGCCATTTTGCGCATTGTGAGGCAAAGCGCTCCCGTATTGGTGCGGGCAGTTTCTGCACGAACCCGGCGGCCATGTGCGAGCAATATGGGAAAATGTGCCATCAAATATGCTCAGCTCCGGGGCTTGACCGGCTAAATCTGCGCGGATAAAGGCGGTTGTGCTCCGTTTTCTCCTCAAAAGTCAAATGACGATGCAAGAATGGGCAGCAGTGAACGAAGCCACTTGTCTGTCGATGATGAAGCTCTTGCTCCCGTTGCAAAGATGTCATGATCACCGCGAGTGATGCTACCTCGGTAGTACTTCGTAGCCAACGCGGAGAATTAGAAAAATCAGTACTACCTTACATTACCTCTTTGCCATGACATTGCAATGGATGCTCCCACTCGTGCTCGGCCGCTATCCACGTGCCCCGTAGATTAACGTGGACCGTCAATCAATGCTTCTTGTCTCCGTATCAAAGGTGGGCTCCCGAGGCTACGAACCAAGACGCGCAAATAGTCCGCCCGAGACAATGAAGAAAAAGCGGAGGCTGAGTCTTTGAGCTTCTGATAGGGCAGCGCTTTTCATGCACCTTCGGATAATATTTCCGACAAGTGTTTGCCATTGATGGATTGATTGTCTGCCTGCTCGGAGGGAGCATTACAGTTCAGTTGGAGACCCATGCATGTTACTCTGTAGGTTGCCAATAGACTCAAGCGAACGTTCACAGCGGGGTGGCACAGCTTCTTCTCAGAGCGAGGTTTCATCAGGAGACACAGCAGCAGCAAAGGGAAAAATAATAAAACTCGAGGCCCCACGGCAGCATCCGAGTGGACTCGTACGTTCCAGTGCTGGACAATCCCTGGAGCAAAGGACAAGAAAAAGACGTTGGAAATCTTCCGAGAAACCACCAGCCCCGTGGAGCCCTGCATGGGGACAACAGGTTGACAGAGAAGAAGCACCTCCAATGCGGAAGTTGAACAGGCTGACCGTATCGGTCCTTCGAACGAGGCGAGATTTGAATCTGCGACGTGCTGCAGGGCCTATGCCTAGTAGGGCTTCACCTTCACATGCGTCGGTCGAGGGTCTCTTTCTTTTCGTCTTACGTCTTTGGCTGCGACTCTGACGCTGGAGCTTCGTCTTTTTTTTTTTTTTTTTTTTTTTTTCCCATCCTGCTGCGTGAGATCCATATTGGTTCAGCTCCGGATCGGTGCTACTGTGCCATCCTGGTAAGCCGTGGCTCCGTGCTTTTGGCTACAGGATTGCTCGCTGCAAAGTAATTTCTCCTCAAAACCACCCAGAGGGCGCAGAAAGCACAGTGCCAGCAGGCTCTCAGGCAAGGGTCCCCGTCTTGGGTAGCATTTTGCTCGATGATGAGGTAATCCCGACGCAGCATGATTTCCCTGATTACTCGTGCTCTCGACTCTCTCTCTCTCTCTCGCCTGTCCCTTTGCCTTACCGCTCCGGCGCCAAGGTACGAGCATTGTTGCTCGCACTGCCGCCAGGGGAGCATTTTCGTCGAGTTGCGTTGCCAGTGCTTCCGGCCTGTTGCCGTGGCGCCATTCCGAGCTCCCCGACGCAGGTATGCCGATTTATGGGGGCGGCTTGATAGGACAGGCAATCTCGGGGGCAGCCATCACGCATCTTTGGGGGCGACGTCACTCGCGATCCAATTGGTAGCAGCAGCAACAAAGATAGGGAAAGGCATGTGGGAGCATCACGTGATGGGCCTGGGAGCTGCTCCGATTTGACGAATCGTGGGCTGCAAAATGCAGGGTTGGCAGGGTTGAGACAGGAAAATACGGGGGTTTGATAAGATCGCTGGTCGATGCCGGCTGGACCACAGTCAGGAATCCGAAACGGCCACGGTGCCGGTGCGGGCGATGCAAAGGGCAAGTTCAACGAATTGCTCGTGCTATTAAGGGGGCTAATGCCGGTACGGTAGTATTACAGTATTAGCAGGAAAAAGGACGGAAACAAGAAATGAATTGGAACAGTGAAGAGAAGGAAGAAAAAAAAAGAGAGACAGAGCAACAGACAGGTTCGTGCAAGTGTTGTCTTCGTTATCGACGTACAGTCGGCGAAAGCGACGGCCGAAGCAGCGCCAAGCGTCATCGGCACCACACTAGACAGTTGGGCTTTTCTCTTTGCCTCTGCGCGATTCATATCTTGCCGACTGCACATCATGTCCACTTGGGGGAACCTCCTTGTTTCCTACTTTGGACATTCACATTGACGGATTCAGGCAGGTTGCTGCTGCTAGGTACGGGGAGCAAGACACAAGCTGACAAGGAAAAAAGGGAGGCGGCTTCGGTAGTTGCTTGATGCCTCCATGATTTCAATGATCAGCCCCATCTACCGAGCCGCCATGAAGCAAATTCACCGGCGCCAACCCCGTGATGCTGGCATGGACCCTAACGCAACAGAGGCAAATGCGACGTAGCACTATACTGCCATCACCTTGCTGTGCAACGTCTTCCCAATGGCATTGAGGCCTGGTTGGTGTGGGGAGCTGCCTGTCGGGGTAGGGCATGGCTTGGGCCACTCACCTCTCTGCTGCTGCAGTCTCGTCCTCTCGTGTTTGGATCGACAATTCCATGAGGCACCAGAACGGCCGGAGTAGGGCCGCAGTGGCCTCCTCCCTCTTTGTCTCGTCTTGTTTTTTTCTCCCACACTGCCCTGACAAAGACCACTGTGCTGGTTTTCCTTATTTCAAGCCCAGTTCTGCTCACACGCCCAGCCCTATCCGTAGTGTACGGGGGCATTGACGCATATGTTTCCGTGTCTTGATCTCCATCGCCAATGGAGGATTCGGCCGGGACGGACGGCGGCAACGCCACGGCTATGTTAGCATGCTGGCAACTGGGTAGCGCGCAACGTCGGCGGTCGGCTTCGTGATGCATGGACAAGAGTCATCCATGCATGTCGGGTTGGTGTACCGCACGGCATACAGGTAGGTGATATTGGGCGCGCGGAAGAGTGGTGAGGCAGGGCATCGAGCATTTTCCGTACAGGTAGCCGTCGCCTCAGAAGCAACGGGCGCGCCGTGTGTCGACTTGCCATCAGCATGGTCATGGTTCATGGTCATGGTCATGGTTCAGGTTCATGCCAAACAGTCGCTTGCTCTGTGCTCGTATGTTATCTTCGGACCAACTAACCCAAACAGCGGACGACGATGACAGGAGATGATATGGATAGGTAGATAGCAGACCATTGTATGTACGAGTACGTGTACAGCAGACCACCTTAAGTCCGCGTGGCCTTTCCGTCCAATTTCGCTCGATATCCCGCCCTCGGAAAATGGTCGTCGGGGATAGAATCGAGTTGGTTGCTGGAGCCGAGTAACACTTGCCGTATGTATGTATGGGAGTATGTACGAGCATGCGTATGTAAGGTCTCGACGGCGCCATGTGCGAATCGGGCAGACAACGTGATTGATTCTCACACGCATGGGGCTAGAAAACGACGCTCGTAACATCCGGGCCTGGGGGCATCGTGCCCTATTCGTCGTAGCAGCAGAGCAGTGGTGTGCGTTGTTTTGCTGTCTCCCGTCCTCTCCACGACGCACGGTCGCGCAGCAATACGAGGAGCACAGCTCTGTGTGCAAACCAAAACCTGCTTGCTGCTTGTTCGGCCTTGGAAATGCAACGACAACCGCCTCGCCTCGCCTGTGCCTGTATGTACGAGTACGGTAGAACAGCAGATTTGAAGCCCCAAAGCTCTTATCTCTATGGAGTGTGTTTTGTCAAATGGAAATGGAGCCGCCATCTCGGGGATGCTGTGCGGCTGTGGATCGCGATAGTGGCCCGAAATGATCCAAGGGTGGGACAACGCAAACGCACGCAATCAATGTGGACAACGCAAGGACGAGGTACTAACTTGTGCTGTATGTAAGTACCTCGTACATACTCGTACATACAGCGCATCGTACATACAAGCAACCGCTCGAATGGCGGCGCTACGGCTCTTGTTGGACTAGCGAGGGCTGGCGGTTCGGTAAGGGAAAAGAAGATTGGAAGCGTCGTCGAGAAACGCAACGACTTATTTTTCGTTTTCCCCTCTTGGGGCTTTTCTTCTTTTCGCTTCCGAGCACGTTGCGACACCGAGGGATTGGGCTGACAGAGCCAGCGCACGGCCTTGCGCACTGTCTGGCGATTGGCCGCGTTCGGCTAAATGCCATTTCGAAATCTCAGCAGCGCACGCGACGAACGCAAGTGCGAGTACCAAGAGGTCACTAAGAAAGTACCTCGGGGTAAGGGTCGTGCTAGCTGGGCCCATGGCGCAACGACCAGCTGCTACTTTGTGGCCAGCCGCAGCCTTAGGTACCGCGACCCCTAGCCGAAGCTTTCCCACGGAACGACTTTCCCCTTGCCTTGCCCACAATGGGGGTTCGCCATCGTGCGGATACGCTCGCGGCGCTACTGTGCGGCCCGACTGCCCTGGCCCACAGAGGGCCGATTTGCTAAGAGCGACAGCCTGAGAGGCGTCGTTTGGAGGAGCGGAGTACGTACCAACGACAGCGGCGCCCCCCCCTCCCCAAAGCTGCCAGCCCCAGATGCCCCGGACATTGCCCCAAGGCAGACGGCATACTGTACGGGGCACCCTGGCCGCGGCCCTGCAGGCCTTGTTTGGGGGGCTCCGCAGCGCAATCAGGACCGTACGCACACTGTGTGCCAAAGCCCCCAACGTTGCTCGGGTCGCTGGCTCCAGCACCTTTTCCTCAGCAGCTCCACTATTACGCCGGCCAAACGGCCGCCTGGGCGAATCAGCGCGGCGGCTTTCGCTCGCCCTTCTGTTGCGACTTTGCAAAGGGTGCAGAGGCTTCCGTGGACCTTTTCCTCGCCCTCTCGCCGCTGTGCTTCTGGTGCTTCGTGCCCCCAAACAGCGCTCCCAAATGCCCCGGGCGATCCCCGACTCCCACCTAGCGGGCTGCTAGCGGGCCCTGTTCCACTGTACGTGTTCCACTGTCCTTCCCACACATGCCAGGTTCTCTTCCCTATCGCAATTCCTCTCTACACTCCCACCCTCATTTTTCTCATCCTCTGCCCAGAGCCTTGCCCTGCTTTTTTTTGCACATCGCGTACGAGTAGCTCCCTGGGTTGGTTTTTTTTTTTTTTTTTTTTTTTTTTTTTTCCCGCTCTCACCTTACATCGCCGCGCCAAATCCGTCGCTGCGCATACTCGCACTTGCACTTGTACTCATCCATCGTTTACACGGCAGGGCTTAGACGCAGCTCAGAGACGACTCGAGACGACACAAGGACGAACCGAGACGAGACGAGACGAAGCTGCCCTTGACGGCCAACCAACGTCGTCGTCGCCTTTCCATTCGCCGCAATCCTTCGCTCCCCCTCTTCTCTCTCTCTCCCTACTGGGCGGCTTCGCCATACTATTCCCCGCCATGTTAAGACGACTGCTCTCTCCCTGCGTCCGACAATAGAGACGCCTTCAACTCCCCGAGCTGGCCGCGGCCGCTCGTCACCCATACAACTCTGTATCTCGTCGCTCGTTCACCTCGCCTCCATCGCCCATCATGGCTGAGTCCCAGCCTCAGCGCCGCGTCGCCGCCATGGATCCGCCTCACCTCACCGAGTTCGCTTCCGAGCGCTACTTTGAGAAGCTCAGCCAACTCCAAGCCAGCCGCCAGCAGGCGGATCATGCGGAACCCAGTACTGCGACGACGGCGGCCCCGTCGAGATTCATCCTGCCGCTGCGAGAGTCGTCCAAGCCCACGGATGTCGACGCCCTCAAGCCCGTCGACTTGAAGCGCGAAAAAGGCCGCTTCCTTAGTTTTCGACAAAAGCTAGGCACGAAGCATTCCAAACCCGATGCGGAACACACGGCGACTCTACCTTCAAGAGCCTCTACGGAGTCGACGCGGAAAAGGTTCGTCATCTTTACCCAAAAATTTTTATTCTCTCATCGTGAGCAGGGATTTCAAGAATCTTGAGTGCTGACTAGCGTTATTCTTTTCCATCTTCTTTTTAGCATACCTTTTGATCAACTATTCATCGCATTACCGAGCGAACTACAGCTCCAAATCATCTCATCCCTCCCTTTGACAGATATTCTTAACCTCCGATTAGCCTCGAAATCATGGCACGCACTCATCACCGCAAACGAAACACCCATTGTCCGACATCATCTGTATAACCAAATACCCGCATATGCTCTCCGTCTATATCCCGTACCCGAGAACTCCGCCGACATCAACTTCCATTACCTGTGTAGTCTGTGGCATCGTCTTCATGTCGCGGCCAAGCTATCATACTTGATGTGCGAGTGGATTACAAAGGACATATTCCTAAGACAGACGGAGGCCCAGAAGCTGGCATTCGCACCACAGCACGAGCGTATGCGCCGACGACTGATACCCTTACTATTCACCGTTTTCCACTTTTTCGAGACATACAGGAAACTACACCTGCAATATATCGCTGAGCACGGAAACGGATTGTTAAAGGAGCCATACACGGTGAACCCGATCGAGACGCAAATCATGAACATGTACGACAACCGGACGTTGCTCAGGGTCCATGAGGTCTTCCCTCTCATCATCTCATCCTTCTGCCGCCGCCTGCGACCGCCGACGTACGTTGGTCGGGTGGAACGATCATTGCGTGGTTATCTGAGGGAGAGACCGCCCGACGAAGTCCATGTTGCCGTTTTGTGCCTAGGCGGCCTTCGTCAGGTGGAGAGGCTGTGGGAAACAAAGGGCTACAACAACCGACGGACTGCTGTTGATGTTTGGTTCGGTTCTCTCACCAAGGAGCCTGTTGGCGAAGCCTCTGCCAAGAGCCGGTTAGGACTAAAGGCCTTTGGACGAAAGAAGTCAACAAGCAGCGATCGGCCTCCACACCGGACATCATTCAGCGAGGGCGGCCGTAGGAGTCCGTGGGGATCGGTAGACTCTACCCACAACGGCGGATTCATGCCGTACAGCGTCTTTGGCACCAGTCTCTCCGCCGATGCGCCCATGGCACCTCTCGATCGCGACCAGGCCAAGACCCTACTAGGGGACCTCCCATCACTGCAGGGCATCTGGCTCACAACAGCCGAGGCCATGATTATGGATCGCAAGATTGTGCAGCGGCCGCAGGACATTAAGCGGAACCAGCAGGTCATGCTGGATCTAATCCAGGAGGACGGCCTGGACGAAGAAGACGAGTGGTGCTACGGCCGCCACATGTCCGACTCGGTGAGACCACCCGCCGCAGCCCTTGGCGACGATGCGGATTAAAGCCCTTCCTACTGTTTTTTCTATTATTATACTCGCCAATACATATACGGCTCCGTCGAACCTTTCTTGTCTCTATATACGCTTGCTTTTGATCGAGCATGCCGTCTTTCTTTTGAACTAAGCAAATCATCTGCTTATACCATTTTTCCCTTGAGTTTTTGTTGTGTCCTCGTTGACGCAAAAAGAAAGCATTTACAGGCGTTTTTATTTTTTTATTTTTTGGGGGGAAGGGGATTTTGGGAAGGAATCCACGCGACGTGGAATATCCGGCTGTGGAATATCTTGGGCTTCTTACTGTGGTTTACTGCTGTTTTTTTTCTTGCTCTTCTTATCTATCCATATTCTTTCCCTCTAAAGATTTCCTTTTTCTCTCTCTTGATTTTTTCCCTGTATTGGTTTGGTCCTCTTTTTTTTTGTATGTGAGATTTGCCCTTGTTCAGATGAAAGGGCTTCCTTCTCCTCCGTCTTGCTGGGAAATATCCTGCATTGGGCAAACAGCTTTCAGTCGCAGCGTGCATAGAAACTTGTGCGCAGTTTGTATCATGGATCTTATCTGCTCTGCTCTGCTCTGCTCTGCTTGCTTGCCTGTCTGTTGAACACCTTTTTGTGTGTTATTTTTCTCTCACCTTTTCGTCTCTTAGCAGCGGCTTTCTCTTTTTTCCCCTTCTTCTTCGCTATATTTTTTGCGTACTCTCATTTTGTAACACTTTTGGCGAAACTGGTATGGCCAGCGCTGATTGCAAAAAAATTGAAGAAAAGACAACATTTTGAAATAAATCATGCAATGGAGCCCTCTATGTGAATGTTTTGACTTGATTTGCTCGATTTACAATGATAGTTGAGTTGTAGACTTTTTACACACATATTGTAGACTTTCCATATATATATATATATATATATATGTATGTATGTATTTCCCTCCTTTGTTTGCTGCCCGTATTCCTACGGGGGTAGATAAGGTAGTCTATAGCTTTTTACTCAACATGCTTCGCTGTCCCTGCTTTGACTCATACCAAGTGGAAAAAAAAGGAAGTGAAAGAAACATTCAGCAGAAAAAAGAAACAACGCCAACAGAACTTTATATTATCCCCATTCACCCCTGTGAATGCACCCCGTCGTTCCCAAACGTACACACATCTCACATTGATAAAGGCACAAAATCGTAGCACCATCCATACAAGCTGTCACTGTCTCATCATAAGGTGTCATCTGCCCTATTTCGCAAAAACAAAGAAAACAAAACAAAACCCCGATGAAGGAAATGTGAAAACAAAGAGAAAGAGAAAGATGACCAGTTTGCCGTTTGACTCCTTTGGAAAACCCGTCCAGTTTCACCTACACGCCTAGACATCAAAACAATAAAAACGAAATGCCTTTTTCTTTTTTGCTGCTGGATGGGGGGGTAAATAAACTCAAAGAGGAATCCGAAAACCCACCGGTTTCCTCTGCATTGCGTTACTCTTCTTTTTACTCTCTCTCTCATTATAATGACAAAAATGCGCAGACGGCCAAGTTAATAGCCGTCCTCCGGCTGGAGAGAAAGACAAGTTACCTTCTTATTGGCGGTTAGCCATGGCCTGGTACAGCCTCTCTCTCATATTCGGTTCGGCCAGCGCAGCTTCAAGCTGCGTGGAGTCGCCAAATGCAGCGGCTGCATCTTGGACGTCGCGCTCGTTGAGGCCGTAATCCATGTCGAGATAGCTGTGCTCGGCAAAGCTTTGGAACTGGCTCAGGCTAGACGTCGTGGGTGCTGATGCCGAAGTTGCGGGAACTTGTTGGCCGTTGGTGAAGCCGGAAGACGGGTGGCGAGCCGTAGCGGCTTGCTGCTGTCCCTGCTGGCTCCGCGAGATGGCCAGAGACGCTTGTTGAGACAGGCTGGCGGCGCGAGCTTCGTCCGAGGTTTGCCTCGCCATGCTGGAAGATGCAAACTGTGATGCTTGGCCGCTGCTCGTGCCTCTAGCAAAGCTGCCGCCGCCGGCTACGTGCCCTAGCTGGCCTGGTAGCTGCCTTGTCTGAGGATAAAAGCCTTGCGAGGCCATATTCGTTGGGCTATTTCCGTACATTTGGCCTGGCCCTCTAGGTCTCGGGGCCCCTGGTGGCATGTGTCCACCTTGCTGAAGTTGCGGCGGAGGGCGCATCCCCGTGTTCTGCTGCTGAGGTCTTTGAGACGTAAACTGCTGCGGCTGTTGCTGGGTTTGAAGTGGCTGGTTCTGGTTTTGACTCTGAGGTTGCGTTGGTGATCGCTGCGGGTGATGTTGCTGCTGTAGATGCTGCTGGCTCGAGGCTTTCCTAACTGCGGCGCTCGCCAACTGGTTATCAAAATTATTGGTGGCCATGACTTGAGAGATGCTATTGTAGGAATTGTTTAGTATGGGCGACGTATTCATGCCGACGCGGCCGGATTGAGAATCGATATTGCTGAACATGGGGTTTTGAAGCGACTCTCTAGATACCCGCCGACGTTTCATAGTATTTGGATCAGACGCGGCCATCTGTAACGACGCCTCATCGCCGTGTCGAATCTGCGAGGAGACATCGGGGCCTGCAATTGCCGATAGTGAATCCCTAGCAAGCTGCACTGGATCGCCGACTTTTCTCTTCTTGACATGCGAATGATTGTTGATGGAGCGAAATTGGTCCAATGACTGCATTCCCGATCCAGCCCAACTACTCACACCCGGAATGGCGCCTGTTTGGCTTGTCTGGGGGGCTCGCATAGCCATGTGTCCGCCATGTTGCGCTACTGGATTCTCCTGCATCGTGGGCGAGGGGTGGTGTTGCTGCTCTGCCCTGGGCGGCATCGTGTTCGCAAAGGAGGAAATGTTATTCAGACTCCCCGTTGTCTTGTGTGCTAAAGGAGAAGGTGCAACAGGATTCGAGGTTGTCGATGTCGGTAGCAGACCGTGGGAGGAGTCCGCACCCGCTTGGCCGGCTTCGGGGGTATTCTTTGGTCGGTTCTTAGATCCCTTAGGTCTACCTCTCTTCTTGCCCGTCCCCGGAGTGCTCATGATACTGGAATCAGGGTCAAGATGCGTTGGCATATCAGCATGATACGAGGGATTGAGAAGCCCATTTCTAGGTTGCTCGCTGGATCCTGGCTCAGTCTGGGACAGGCGGAGCATATTATGCGAGCCAAGAGCGTCAACCTGGCTGGACGAGTGATGTGCCATATCCGACTTTTTGATGCCTTTGTCTATTCGGGGTTTGGAACTCTTGCTCCCCTTTGGCCGTCCCCGCGGTCTTTTCACAGGAGTGCCAGCTGCATCTTGCGTTCCCGAGGGCTGTGAAGGTTCTACTGCAGCATCAGTGGAGGATGGTGGAGCGGCGGGAGCGGTTGCTGAATGAGATAGAGTTGGAGGTTGAGCTGACGAGGGCACGTCTGAGACGGTAGCAGCTACGGCAGCAGCGGCAGCAGAGACTATATCGCTCTGGAGGGACGGATGCGGTGCTATAGCTGAAGGGTTTCCTTCGACCGGGGGGAATATCTCGGCGACCCAGCCGACGAAAATAGATCCCTGGCCATTGTTGTGTCCACTTTCTGGAAATCCCGAATCGTGCGATGAAGGAGCGCCTGGGATCCCCCCAAAGTATGCCAGTGCTTTGCACAGCTGGTCCACCACGACAACGGGATTCAAGCTGCGTAATAGGGTGAGAAGCCGAGCCTGTTCGGCCTTGGCCTCGTGCGGCAAAGGCCCTAGGCTACGGGCAGGTAGAGGGTAGGAGGGACTCGGATAGCCATTTTGCGAAGCCCCATAGGCCGGGGCGGAAGAGCGCGGATCGGGATCGGTGGGCGGAATCCACGCCAGCTTGCTACGTTTGATGGATTGGTAGCCGCGCATATTGGCCAGTCTCGCTGCCGCCTCCGTCTCCTCGCTCGTACGCTTTGCAGCAGCGTTCCGCAGGGCGGCCTGTGCGCTATTTATGTCGATGTGCATGACGCCAAAGTTGCCGTTCTTGTTGTCGGCCTTGCCCTTGAGCTTGCTGGGCACAGGGTTCTTGACACGACCATCCGTGGTGTGAATGGAGGCTCCCTCCGGGGCATCGGTCACATCTGGGCACTGCAATGAGCAAATCGATCCGGCCAAAGGGCACCAGATCCGAGGGCCTGGCGGAGCGATGAATTGCGCCTACATACCATGACTAGAGGTGCGGATCGGGGTCGAGGACCTGGGGCCGGGAGTTGCGGACGACTCCAGCGCGATTTCAGCCTTTGCGGGCGAGCCCTCGGGCGGAGGAGATTCGCAGATGGCGAGCGTCGCAGAAGCTGCCAAGAGCAGGTCAGAGGCGACACGGGCCGGGGGATGGTTGCGGAAAGACAAGACAACAAAGACGGAGAGGCAGAGGCAGAGGCAGAGGTAGAGGTAGAGGCAGAGATACGAGACGGGGAAAACGAACCAGGAGCTGCGGCCATGGCGCTAGGATGATGCGCCTGCAGACCGCCTCATGCCCAGCGCGCGGGCTAGGCGAATTGGAGCCTCGGGAGGGCTGGCGGAGAGAGAGGCTTGTCTCAGAGCTAGAGCTGGATGTTTTTGATTATGGCGATGCCGGGCCCGGGCGAGGGCGATGCTTGGAGCTTGCAGCAGCGGCGAGGGTTTGGAGAAGGACGGAGAGCGAACAAACAGGCCCCGGAATTGGCGTCTCGAGGCGCTCACATGGTCCGGCAGCGAGGGGCGGTCAGCAGTCCTTTGTATCGCCGTCACAGGCCGTGATGTCGCGCGTTGCAGGCGGTTGTCATGTCCATGGCCTGACAAAGAAAGTTGGCGGTGCACGGCGCATCGTTTCTCTTCATACTCCGACTGAACCTGCTGCTGAGACGGGACTAGCGCCGCCCGTAGCGCTGTGATTCCATATGCATGTACGGGGGGGGAAGATGCTGCGTAGATGAATATTGCTGCATGTATGCGCAGGCGTGAGGCTGCAGAACGCCAATGCCGAGTTTCTTCCTTGTTAAGGCGAGGGGTTGGTGTTTAACGGGGACCCGGGCCGTGGATTATGTATTGAGTACCTGATGCCTTGCGAGCTTTCATGCATTAACCTGTGTATCGGCTACTTTGATCTTGCTCAGCATCCCCCACTGCTGGAGCTGGGCTGGACTAAGCTGAACTGTCACTGGACTTGCTCGCCAACTTGCTTCTGCTTGCCGCAACCTAATTTATACATTGGATGTAGCCAAGCAGCCATTCAAGCTTGTCTCGGCGCTGTTTTTCTTTCCTCTTCAAAGCCAGAGCTGCCATCCTTCTCCGGGCCTTTGCGTGAGAGAGATTCCCTTTTGTTTATCCTCTCCGCCCTCCTGCTTTTTGCTCGTCCCGTCTCTTTGCTCTTTCTCGTCCTCCTCCTCATCGGGTCTACTTCTATCTCCGTCACCAGCGGCCACCGCCATGTCGTCCAAATATGCGCTGATATCGCTGCCTCAAAGCGCCTTCGACTCTGGAAGCCGGGACGAGGCCATCTCGTCGTTGAGCGCGACCATCACCGCCGACAATGGCACCGTCCTGCCTTTCGCCATTCCCGACTTCAAGATCGGAACTCTAGACCTGCTGGTCCAGCAAGCCGATGACCTGGCCAAGCTCGACGCGGCGTGCCAGTCGGTCGTCGCCAAGGTTGCGGATTCCTTGCGCACCGTGCTCAACAACGATGAAGACCGAATGGCCTCGTACAAGATGGTCAATGATAGTTAGTCGAGCCCAAATATGCGCTTCTGTATGGTGTACGTGGTGGTGGTGGGGGGACTGACGACATGCGGCAGAGCCAACCGATCACTATCTGCGCAACTTTAGCTGGAACAAGATGAGGTACCGAGCCGATAAACCTATAGCTGAGCTCATCAGCACTCTCCAGAAGGTATGCCTTTATCGAACCTTTGTCCAAACCCGCCAGGCGAAGCTCATCCATCTTACGCGCGGCTTAGGAGCTCAACACGGCCGACAATGATGTCAAGTCCAAGTTCAACCAGTACAACACCGTCAAGACGAACCTTGCAGCTCTGCAAAGGAGACAAACGTGAGTACCTCGCATCTGCTCAGCTGCCCTTGGCTAATTGACCCGTCTCGGCTGCAGGGGCACTCTCGCAACGAAATCTCTCACTCCGATTGTGAAGCCATCGCTCCTCGTCCAAGACTCCGAGTACCTCGAGACCCACCTCATCGCCGTGCCGACGAATGCAAAGAAGGACTTCATTAAGAGCTATGAAACGCTTGCGCCCATGGTGGTGCCCCGGTCCTCGGTCGAAATCGACCATGACGACGAGTTCACACTGTTTGCTGTTGTGACGTTCAAGAAGCACAGCGCCGAGTTTGTCCACAAGTGCCGAGAGCAGAAATGGACGCCCCGTCAGTATAAGCATGTCGAGGGCGGCCGGGAGGAAGAGCAGCGTGAGCTGGATCGCGTCACCAACGAGGAGCGCAAGGTCTGCGGCGAGGCTCTGCGCATGGGAAGGACTGGATGGAGCGAAAGCGTCATGATCTGGATCCATGTCCTCACCTTGCGCGTCTTTGTCGAGGCCGTGCTACGATACGGATTGCCGCTGGACTACGCCACAGCTCTGATCAAGGTATGTTGCGATGCGCCGCTGCTTGCGAATGCACCCCTTTATTCATCTACCCATCCCCGTCAACCATGACCATCCCAGATTGTTCATGTATATATATATCCTCTCGTGCACAAGACTGACTACATGTGGTACAGACAACATCGAAGCTGGCTCCCAAGGCAAAAGCAGCGCTCGACTCCAAGTACTCGTACCTGGGCGGAAATGCGTTTGGACGAGACAAGCACGGCAGGGTCACCAAAGACGACGCCGCCCTCAGCTCGGAGATGGCTGCGGCAGGACTGGGGACCGGCGAGGGACACGAGTACACGGCTTTTGTTTACTACGAGGCCGAATTCCCCTGAGCGTGGCATAGAGATGTAATTTTTTTTTTTCTAAAAAGCGTCATACGCCTGTATTCTATCATTATTGTCTGTGTCCGTGATAAGACTTTTTCTTTCTTTTTCTTTTCCTCGTTGCACTTTGTTCTATATCAATCCATCATTTTCAATGTGAAAAAGACCAAGTGTGGTGTGATTTTCTTTGCGCCCGAATGTTTATTTCCCTTTTCTCCCCTTTCCTTATCTCTTTCTTCCTTGCATATAATATGATATTTGCTTCTAGTTCTTGACCTCGCTCTTGACGTAACCCTTGGCAATTAGCCAGTTTGTGATTTGCGCAACACACTCCTCAACCGTGTTCTCATGCGTCTTGATTGTAATCTCAGCGTTGACAGGCTCCTCGTAAGGAGCCGAGATGCCAGTAAACTCCTTGATCTCGCCGGCACGAGCCTTCTTGTAGAGGCCCTTGGGGTCGCGCTGCTCGGCCACCTCGAGGGGCACGTCGACAAAGACCTCGACAAAGGGGATGGGCTCGTCGCCGTCCTGGTTGGTCTTTGCGTGCAGGTCGCGGGCGAGGTCGCGGTCGGCGCGGTAGGGCGAGATGAAGGAGGTGATGGCGACGGTGGAGGCGTCGGCGAAGAGCTTGGCGACCTCTGAGATGCGGCGGATGTTCTCGTTGCGGTCCGTCTCGGAGAAGCCCAGGTCCTTGTTGAGGCCGAAGCGCACGTTGTCGCCGTCGAGGCGGTAGGCGGCCAGGCCTAGGTGCAGGAGGTGCTGCTCGAGGGCGGTGGCGACGGTGGACTTGCCCGAGGCGGAGAGGCCCGTCAGCCAGATGGTGAGGCCGCGCTGGTTGCGGAGCTGGTTGCGCTCGCGGCGGGAGAGGGAGGGATGCCAGGTGATGTTGCTGATGTTGAGGGTCAGCTTTGCTTGGAATATGCGTGGTGGTGATGATGATCCAATGGGCGGATGTTATGGTGGTTTGGGTGAGGGTTTGAAGATGGAGATGGTGACATTTTTCGTCTCAAGGTTGCAAAGGCGGGGGAGGGGCAGAGGGGGCGGGTTACTGGTTACGCACGTGGCCATTGTGTCAGGTAAAGTGATAAGACGAGATGAATTGAGGAACAGCTGAATTTCGCTTGTTTGCGTTGGACGAGGAGAAGATGGAAAAGCAAGTGAAAAGAAAAGACTGGTAAGAAAAAAGAAAGAAGAAAAAAAGAGGGAAAAGAGATGCAGAGATGGAAAAAGAAAAGGTGGAGATTCACTGCGACATATATAAGGGCCTGATGATGAAATACAGATGCGAGATGGGCGATCTCTGACTTGGAGTTGGTCTCTGTAAGTTGCAGCAGATTCGCCCACTAACGGCCAATCCCCCTCGGACCCTCGCCCAGCATTAAAGAACCTCAATGTGCTGACACATTCCCCCTCCGCTGTGACATTCATGCTAAAGAAAAGAAAAGAAAAGAAAAGAAAAAAAAAAGAAGCTGCTGCTAGTGCTGGTCAAAACCCACTTGCAACGTCGAATTCTACTCCAAGATAGGCCAAGGCGGTTGATGTGCTCATTGGGGAGGCTGATGGCGACAGTCCGAAACCGCCGACTTCCGCTCCGCTGATCTGGTCCCCCGTTGTTTTTCCGCACATGACTTTTCTTCTCTCACATTGCGGCAATCCCCTTTCATTTCGAGAGCAATAACATTTATTGTACAGTAGTATCTTGATGTATATACGCATCTATTTTACTTTTGCCTGCTAAACAATGCAGAGAAATCAGCCTTCTCGCAGTATTCTCTAAAAGACGACATCTTAACTCCGTACTAGATGATGAAAGTCAGCTTATCGAATCGCCTCTGTATAGGTGGTGAGATCAAACTTACCTTTCCTGGCCCAACAATCCCTGCTTCTCTTCCCTCATACCCAAATTCGAACGCAAACAAGACGTTGCATCCGAATTCATGACCCAAACCACCGGGGATGAGCTCATTGATCTCATCATATGACAACTCGTCGATGCCTCCGTATGGGACGCCCTGGGTCTCGCAGAAGATGCGAAGATAGTCGTTCCAAGAAAGATATTCGCCCACGGCAAACAAGTTTGTGTTGGGAGGCGCTTGTTCGACAAGAGCCTTGACGTTAGGCCCAAGGTCGGTGCCAACGTTGCCGAGAGGGATGGGCTTGTGGGCGACGCCGGGGACCTTCATTCGATAAGTGCCATCGGGTTGCTGAACAGACAGGATTCGTTAGCTGAGCCATGTTGGTTAGAGAGGGGAGACAAATTCTTCATCTGTTACCTTTGTTGGTTCTACTGGCAGTCCCCATTCCAATGCGATTTGGTAGTAGATTGGGGCTTGGATTTGCGAGAACTTGTCTTTGAGCTCAGGAAGGCTTTGCGCATATGTAACAGCTTGGGCCTTGGAGTCCATGTGGTATAGCTTTGAGAACTTGCCACCACTCGATTCCGTTGCATTAGCCATGGAGCTGAAGATGTATCGGTCTAATGTGGATGCCGTTGAGGCTGCAGCATCGGCAAGGTTCTTGCCATGTCGCAGCTCAACTTCGTAACAGTATTCGATGAGTTCCTGATCAGGCTTCTTGAGCTCTTTGCTTTGAGGGTTGCCAAAGATGTTCCAGAAATCAGTGACGCCGAAGATGACATTGGCGCCTTTAAAGGCCCGCTTGAGCGACTCGACGTCGTCGAAATCGGCCTTGACAATCTCGACGCCCTTTGCGGCCCACGCTTTGGCGGCTGCGGATTCGGTATTGCGAGTTACGCCGCGGATGGTATAGCCAGGGGTTTGGAAGAAGGTGTTGGCAACAGAGCCGCCCTAGATATGGTGTTAGTAACCAACTGCGGCGCATTCGATTAATCAGAACGCATTCATTGAGAGACACTCGCCTGAACTCCGGTGATACCTGTAATGGCAACGAGTTTCGTCATGTTGTTGGATTGTCGGTTATTGTTTAAATGTGTAACAGGTCTCGAGTCGATTGTTTGTTGGATCAAGATGTTGATGCTTTTGAGTTGTGGAATATTACATGCAGAACTGGGCTCAAGAGGTATTAATATAGTTGCACGAAATTCATATCACCAACTCTTCTTCTAAAGTTAGAACACCGAAGGATGAATCCATTTCTCAACTACATCACATCCAGTACTCCGTTTCTAACCAGCTCTCTAAGCGAACTCCAACATACGAATACATACAGCAATTTGTAAGATTTTAATCGCATTAAGTTACTGTAGCCCCAGGAACTTACGTGCGACAAGGAAGACCATTGCCCGAGTTGGAAACTTTCTTGTGGCTTTGGCCGGGCGAATTTGTAAGATTCCTCCATTCATTCGGCTTGGGACTCTACATGTACAGCCACCGAACTTATGGTAGAAGGCGCGTACCCCATCTCGATGTCCTAATTGGGAATGTGGAGTAACCGAAACTGGATGTCTTTTGCCCATGAAATTTGAAGCTACAGCTAGCAAAGATAACGTGATTGTTTTGGCACAGTAAACACAACCATATGAATACCTACCTTAGTTTACAACCGTTACTTACTAAACCCACAACGGGCCAAAGAATAAAAGCATTAGCACGAATGAATTCATTGTGATTTTGTATCCCATGACATCATAATCATGCGAAACAGAGGCCGCTGGATACTCCACAACAGCCAGTATGCATAATCCAGATGCCTAAGCTAGGGCTGACAAACTATTTACTTACTGCCGTCGGTATCCAATGGTGATTCCATTCTAGCAACCTGCACTAAATACTAATCATTTCTTAGTCATGAAACTATCGATGTGATACCCAGTCTGAAATGCCGTCTTTGACTCCTGTCCATCTTCTTAGTTTCACTTGAAAGTTCCAGACATGCTGCAGGGCCGAAGATTGACGCCGTTTCTACCTATAGGCAGAAGTAACAAAACCGCTATACACGAGGCCGGCCTGGAACTCTAGGCTTCGGTCAGCAGGCTTTGCTAACTTACCTACTACATATCATGAGATCGATTTGTGTACCTTCACATGTCCACAATCAGTGTTGAAAGTGCCAAGTAGTACACAGTAGGTGAGAGGGTTTGAAAGGAGTTTTGCACATGACTGTACTGCAGCACATCCTTTTTAATACTATCATTGTCTTAGATCAGGCATATACGTATATTTATTTTATATACTCAGCATGGGTCGTCCTTTGTACTTGGTGTATTTGACTTGATTGCAAAACAATGTCCTAGAGGTATATCATGTATAGCATCCATCTGGCTCGGCTCCATCAACTGCGGAGACGAACAAGCATTCCCCTCTCTGCTTTCTAGCACGGCATCTACTGCCTCGTTGTCAAAGTATGTGTGTAGTTCTAGTATAATCTATTCCCGCCGTCGCTGTCCAAAAATATGAAAAAAGAACAATGAAAGAAGAAATGGAGGCAAAAACAAAAACGTAGCAATTCTATACGCTCGTCTTCCCATCTCGCCATGATACTGTATCATTTTAGGTAATCCGGGGCATCAGCTGCATAGAATAAAGATTGTCAGCCACAGTAAGCCTTACAAATTAAAACATCCATCCGAGACACAAAAACTTACCGCCGCATACTTGGGAGAGATGAACAATCCCTTGGCCTCGACCAAAGTCACCGGCTTCTCGCCCGGCCCAGGCAACGTCTCAATGCTCCCCTCGGCCCACGCCTTGCGCCCCTCGACCTTGACCGTCTTGCCGCGCAGCACCAGGAAGCTGTTGGCCTGCGTCGGCTTGCGGTAGTTGATCTCCAGGCTCGCCGTCACGGCAATCTTGTGCGGCAGCGCGTCGAAGCAGCCCCTCGCCAGCCCCTCGTCCAGCATCGTCGCCAGCAGGCCGCCGTGCACGAGGCCCGGGTGGCCGCACAGCCGGTCGCCAATGTACGTGACGCTGACGATGGACTTGCCGCCGTCCTCGATGAAGGCGACGGGCGGCACCATGATCATGCCGTCGCCTGATAGAGCGCCGCCGGTGAGCGTGCGGCTGCGGACCTCGCTCGACATTTTTAGGTGCGGCCGCGACTCCTTGAACTCTGGCCGTGATCGTAACTCTTGGACGATCGGGTGCTTGTTGATTGTTTCTTCGATCTGCTGCAGCTCGTCGCTGTCGGGGACGAACAGCAGGGCGGACTCGGCGTCGGTGAACGAGGCAAAGCCCTTTTGTACCATGGAATAGAATGTTGCTGCCGCTCCAAGGCCGCTAAAAGCAATGCCATATAGGAGCAATCCGAGGCCTCGACCGACACGTCCCTTGGGGGCTGCTGTAGTGGTGGAAAACAACTCAGACGTTAGCAACATCATCTTCTTCCCGCTCTCCGTATGTCAACCACGCAGAGATCAAGGCAATCCCCAAAGAAAAGTCTTACCCTGTGCAGCCTCAGCATAGCACCGTCGTTGAGCGGCTCCTCTAAGCGCAACAAGTGACGGCTGTTGGCCACCTCGAGCCATCATGCCGATGCGGCGCCCGCCACGGGCAATTTGCTGGCTAAACATTTCCGTACAATTGCCTCCTGTCTTTGACGCCTCTCATCTGCAACAGAAAACAAACACGAAGAAATTAAGAAGAAGAAAAAACACAAGTGAACAAAAGCCCAACAAAAAAGAACGTATGTAAATTGCCGAGGCCAAAAAAAAAAAGGGACCGCCGCACCCATCACGCCTTTATAATCATCGCCGGCGTAATGGTAGGTATGTACGGAGTATGTATACGCCGATAAGATAAACTGATACGCCTCTTATCGGCGGTCCGGTATCCCGATTCTAGCCCAAGCCGCGCTTTTTGGCTCCATCGGCGTATCCGAGTTCGGGCAGCGAAAGCCTCGGATATTTTTCTTGCGCTCCCAGGTTCGTCGCCAGACACACTGTGGCTTCGGATCGGACATTTCCTTGCCGGCTGAGTGTCACTGTTTATTCATCATGGTTGCATCCAAGTCGAATGGGAAAGGCTTCGAGAATCCCGTGGTTTTCCCTTGTTTGGTCCCATTGGTGATGGCCATATTGTCAAGAGTGACATTCGCCCCAAGCACATGGTGAAGCATCAGACTTTGCTGGTGCACCTCAGACATCACTTACACCTCTTTGTATGTAGCTCTAATATATACACAAGCGCGCCGTTGTAGACTGGCCAATAAACATGCTTCCTATATTCTCGCCGCCTTCCGGGCCCGATTTTGATTCCTTATTAATCTGCTTTTTGTCTGTTTTACAAGTCATCATCTCCCGCCAAAAGCTCTGCATAGTCGTCCACCGACGCAAACGTGGGCAGACCCCTGAGCATCTTTCTTCTAGCCTTGCGCTTGTCTCCCTTCTCCTCATCCTCATCGGGCACATCTGGAGCGACCAAACCGTCCTCATCTGAACCTTCTTCCTCTGAGTCGTCACCAAATTCCACACTAACGTCATCCTCATCCTCGTCATCCTCGCCATCGAGTGACAAGGCAGGCGAATCATCGTCACCAGATCCCATGTCCAGATCATCCATATCGTCAAAGCCAGCATCGGAGGCATCTTCATCAATGTCAGGTTGAGCATTGACCAACGCCTTCCAGATCTCGTCCTCTTCCGCATCGCCTTCATCGTCTTCGCCACCTGCCGCAGTCTTCTTCGTAGTCTCCTTGCCCTCCTTGGCGATTTGCTGGAAGTATTTGTGGAAGAAGACATCCTCTGCAGCAACATCCTCTGCTTTCTTGTTCCAGAATGCAGCCGAGTTGACCTGGGTAGTGGATGAGCTAGTCCGTCCGCTACCCAGCCAGATATCTCCGATATCTTTGGCGGCCTTGAGAGGCTGCATAATGGATGCACCACGCGCATCTGTGGCCTTTGCGTTTCTGTACACAAACTTGTCCAGGAATCTGATAAGACTGTGGCTCTCCATATCGGGCTTGAGCATTTTCTGATTGCTGTTCATCAATGAAGAAGCAAACTTGCTGACGGCAGGGTGAAAGTGACTTTGAATTGGAACCTAAGGCGACAGTTAGATATTGATAACGTTATCATCTTGCGGAGAATTCAACATACCACCTCCCACAGGCAACTTCTGTGGGCGTTGCTGTGCTCTGGATTCCGTTTGCGTCCATCGTACGTCGGTCGATCTTCGGGCGCTTCATCATCAAACACGGATTCTTCGGGCGACTCAACCAAAGTTGAGAGGTCAGGGAACGTTTGCCTGAGATGCGAAATGACATAGAGCAAGCCACAGATGAAAGGGGGCTGGTGAAGGCCCGCCACTTGCAGCATCCGCTTGGCGAAAGCCTTGACTCTACGCACATCAACATCGTTCTTCAGTGCGCGCAGAAGCAAGTTCAGGTAGAGCGCCTGCTTTGAAGAGGTCATGAGGCGTGGGTCAAGTAGTGACTCGTACAGAGTTCTGTAGAAACGGTCGCTGCCAAGGTTTCTGGCAGAGGAGAGATGTTGAATGAGCAGCAAAGCTTGGATGCCAGTGTTGAAGTTGGAAGAGTGCGCAATCTTGAAAAGCGTGTCGAGGTGACGCTCCATACTATGAACAAGTTAGCCATCTTCACGCAATTCTGCTGCAACTGCTTTGACGTTTAGACACTTACACCATGTCATTAGTGCCCACAAATGGTGCGGCACGGTTGACACCGGTCAACAGCGCAGAAACAAGTTTATCAGCTGCCTCAGTCTCTGGGATGGAAGCGGCTGCTGGCCTTGTCTGGTTAGCTGGCTTTCCGGATGACGAACCCTTGCCGGGCTTCTGTCCCTTCTGGGCCTTGCTAGATTCCTCTTCTATCGGCATGCCAAGCTTTCCCGTCTTGAGCATTGTGGCAAAAAGGTCGAAATAGATGCGAAGCAGAGCCTCAGCTACAGCCGGCTCCTTGTTTGAAAGGATTGTTTGGTTAAGGGTGTTGATGGCATAGTAGCGTGAACGATGGTCTTGCGAGGGTCGAAGTAGAATTTCCTGTTCCACCGTTCGTACAATGACCGGCTTCATTCCAGGGTGGGAGTTTTGCAGCTGTAGGAGGAGATATGACGCCCGTGACGAAATCTTTCGATCACGGTCACCCAACTTGTTGACGAGTAGAGTGAGAAGGTTCGATTCTTGCTCTGGCTTGTCCTTTAGCAAGGCATAGACGAAGTCGACAGCCTTCATTCTGGAGTATTCAATCTCATCGGAGCACCAGACTTCCAGAAGCTGAATGATTTTGAAATAAGTCTCCTTTAACCAATCCTCGTATACCCAAGATATCAGATGCGCTTGTGTAATTTTGCCGGGCAAAGGTTGGCTTGGGGCCCATATTTTGGCAGAAGCTCGTTGAAGTGAGCCCAAAAGGCCTGGCTGAGACTGAAACGTCTTCAATCGCCGATCCGATGGTAGAAGCGTGCCAGGGCCAAGCATATCCACGAGCGCCCCTATAGCTCCAATGGCTTGTGCTCGACTCTTCTTCGAGGCTAGATTCATCAGGGTGTCGAATGCGCGGATGTTGTGAACGGGAGATTCTTGACAGGCCAAGGTGAGAGCGGAAACCTTGTCGGTAAGGGTACCAGAAGTCATAATGGTGGCAAGAAACTTGTGAGACGTAGATGCAAAAATGGTTGTTCTGTATTTGGCCGCCTCCGTCTCCAAGAGATATTTCCCATGCTCCTTCAACGTGTTGATGGCCGACATGAATGGGCCAATGTCATCCACCGTAGGCCCGGGTAGCTGGGCTAGTCTAGCAGCATGCCAGTCTGCGCGCGGCTCGAAAATCTAGCTCACTGAGTTAGTTGTCAGAGATGCCGTTGAGACTCAAGGATATCGACTTACCAGGCCTTCGACTCGTCGCATGTCGTTCTCAGCAGGGCCCTTTTCTTTTGATTCCTTGTTCGTTTTGCCGTTGTTCTGATTCTTTTTCTTGTTCTTGCCATCGTCCTCGCTGACTTCGTCCTCGGAATCATCGCCGTCGTTGTCGTCCTCCTGATCACCTTCTTCTTCTTCCTCTTCTTCTTCATCGCTAGCGTCAACCGGCACAAGTCCAGCAAAGCCAAGTTGTTTGGATAGAGCTGCCAGCTCCTCTTTCAGACGCTTGTCTACTGGTGCCTTTGACTCCGATGCGACGGCTTCATCATCGGAAGCGACTTCATTGATCAGGCGCCAATCTTCCTCGTCGCCTCCCAGGGCCTTGATTTCGGCCAGCAAAGCCTCTTCATCGGCTTTGGTGTTTTTCGCGGGCGGTGCTGCACCCTCGGCATCGCGCTGCTTTCGCTGCTTCTGCTTGCCAGAGGCTTCCGTAGGCGGATTCTTTCGCTTGTAGGGATTGCCGTTCAATTTCTCCTGAATCTGGGAAGTGAGCTCGCTCAATCCATTCTTCAGCTTAGCTGCATCATTTTCAGAGCGCTGAGGCCCTTTGGCCTTTTTGGAGTGCTTAGCCATGGTGAAGATGCTGCCGAGTGTGTTGTAGCAGAAATCGGCTTGCATCAAATTTCTAGATGCGACGCAAGTAATTTTTTTGAAAGCTGCTTATCTTATCGGCCCACGCAGATTTGGTAGCGCCTATCGCGTCTGCTGTTAGCGCCTTGCGCTTATAGAACCGCCGTTTCAATTGTCTTGAACCTAACACAGGCTCTCTCATTGGTGATAGTTTCGCCTCATACGAGGTGCGATTATTGCATTGTTATCACTCATTTTCAGAATTATGTAAAAAATTAGAATGAATTGTCCTACCACTCACTAATCATGCGTGCTCCAGCCTTGGTCTATCATGGCGGATTTCGCCCGCTAACGGCCATTCGTAGCTCGAACCCCGTCCGAACATTTTCACAGCCTCTTTTTGCTCAGTCTCTACGGCCAAGATCAACGCTGTCCAAGATATGGGTTCCCACTGGCGGCGTCTCGGCCACTGATGGAGAAAGTATGGAACTGCTCTGTCATCAGATTTGAGGAAATGCCGGGCTAATTGTTCGCAGCTGGCCATGGCAAGCTGATCCGAGCTGGATTTCTACGTCAGGTAAGCCGACCTCACCTCATTTGATGGCCTGACCCTGTTCAAGGTGGTGTTGCTAATGTGAACCAATTTTCCAGGCACAATCTGGAGTTTTCCAACTTCTTCCATTGGGACTGCGTGTCCAAGATAAGATTGAGCGCCTCGTTGACAAGCATATGCAAAACCTAGGTGAGTCTAATCACCATGCAGTCCTGCGGTGATGGTTTGACTTAGTTCCTTTTAGGAGCCTCCAGACTGGCCCTCTCAACCCTCACAACTGAAGAGCTATGGCGCAAAAGTGGCCGCCTGGATAAAGTCTCTTCTGAGGTACAGCCGCGTTCGCAAGCTATCAAGATACACTTTACTAACACTCCACCAGCTCTTCCGACTCCGTGACCGCAAAGAAGTTCCCATCATGCTGTCACCCACACACGAAGAAGAGATCACGTCCCTTGTGGCCAGCACTTTGAAATCTTACAAAGACTTGCCTCTCAAGTTATATCAAATCAGTATGAGCCCTTTGCTGATCCCATTGACTCCTCATGCGCAACTTCTCACTGATCTTTGTAGCACGGAAATATCGAGATGAGATCCGCCCCAGGCACGGTTTACTAAGATCTCGTGAATTTATCATGAAGGATCTATATACATTTGACTTGACAGTTGAAAAGGCCGTTCAGACGTATCGCGACGTCGCCACCGCCTACAGTGCCTTCTTCGCAGACTTGAAGCTGCCCATATTAGTAGCTGAGGCGAGCTCGGGAGACATGGGCGGAGAGCATAGCCACGAATATCACCTTTCTCATGCCATTGGAGAGGACACTGTCGCATCCTGCAATAGCTGTGGCTATACCGCCAACGACGAAGTAGCTGCGGCTCGGTCACCCGGGCAGCTTGGGGACGCTGTTTCATCTTCATCCTTTGGTATCTGGCGCGGCATTACAAACGACAGAAAGACACTTGTAAATGTGTGGTACCCACGTCTGGGGAATTCGCCATCTGGAGACGTTTATAACATTCACGCTGTCAAGTCGGTCGTTCCCGAACTCGATACCAGTGTCAGTGATGCCGTATCATTCTGGAAAGAGGCCGTCCAACAGGCAGATGGGCATAGTGGAGAGCTTCAGCTCCTGAATGTCATTGATTCGAGACTTGCAACGGCCTTTGAGGATCTTCGCAGCGATCTCCCTCTTCTTCCTGCGGATCTCGCCGGTGACCAAATCCAGCAGTCGTCAATATCACAGACACCAGACGGCGCGGACCTAAACCTTTTGCGCATAACGGACGGTGATGGGTGCCCTCGCTGTAATACAGGGAAGCTCGAGATCCATCGCGCATTGGAGCTAGGGCACACTTTTCTTCTCGGAACACGCTATTCAGAGCCTTTGGAGGCATCCGTAGCGCTCCCGCAAAACCCAGGAGTCCAAGTTCCGGTCCAGATGGGCTGCTTCGGCATCGGCGTTTCTCGCATTCTCGGTGCTGTGGCAGAACAAATGGCAGATGATAAAGGGCTCAACTGGCCACGAGCTATTGCGCCCTTTGAGGTCGTCATGATTCCAACATCTGGAGTCAATGAGCAGACGTTTGAGTTTTACGATACATTGGCAAAGCATCAAGGAGGCACTGGTGCGGGACTGGACATTGTCCTGGATGACCGCAAGGAAGCGTTTGGATGGAAGATGCAGGACGCGGACATGACGGGCTATCCTGTTGTCATTGTGCTTGGAAAGGCTTGGAGGGAAAATGGCGTCTGCGAAGTGCAGTGCAGGAGGCTTTCGGTGAAGGAGAATGTCAAGGCGGAAGACGTTCCCCAATATCTGACGGCTTTGCTGGAGCGGCTATAAAACATGGCGACAAATGCCAACACCTCTCCAATCTAGTCCAGCTAAAACAAGAAGAAGAAGAAAATTTTAAATAAATAAATAAAAACAATTCAAAAATTGATTATCTACATAATACATGAAATTGATCTATTTTCACAATAAAATGCCCATCCAAAGCGCCGTAAATCCCACGTCCTCGTTACAAGGATCGCAAGCCCCTCTAAAGTCATCCGCCATAGTGGCCCATGGAGGGGCTCGTCTCTAAACCTCCAGCTCGCCCCAAGCTTCTCAGGCGCCGAAACAATCGACGACACACGAGCAGCCATGTCGAGCGAGACCAGTAAGACCTCAAACCCCCCCTCCCTCTCTTCTCTCCCATTCATTCTCGTTGCTTGAAAAAGATATGCAATAGCGCTGACCGCTTACCCTTTGTAACGTCTAGTCAATCTCGACACTCTCGAGCCCCAGCAGCTCGCGCAGGTCAAGAAGCAGCTTGAAGAGGAGCTCGAGCACCTTACGAGCTCCTTCGCCCAGCTCCACGGCGCCCAGAACAAGTTCAAGGAATGCCTCCGATGCGTACAGAGCCGAGCCGCCGATAGCCAAGGTACATTCCATATCCATCAGTCGTCGGGTGTCGCAAACGGACGAAAGGGGACGGGGAGCAAGACAGAAGGAAACAAAAGCTAAAATGGCAATACAAACAGGCTCAAAATCAGTCTTGGTCCCGTTGACCAACTCTCTCTACGTCAGCGGCGAGTTGACGAGCACCGATACCGTCTTGGTGGACGTGGGCACAGGGTTCATGATTGAAAAGGTTGCTATACCAGTTTTTTACCACCTGGCTTAAAGGACGGAAATCTAACACTCAACAGAAACTAAAATCGGCCGAGAAATTCTACGATGCAAAAGTAAAGGAGGTTGGCAATAGCTTAAAAGAGCTCGAGGCAATTGTTCAGAGGAAACAAATGAACGTTCGCACAATAGAAGAGGGTATGTCTGCTTACCCTTGTCGAATCAATTATTATATGGTTACTGACGTTGGATTTTCGACAGTTTTACGGAGCAAGATCATGGCCAGCCAAGCAGAAGGTCAAAGTTGAAAAGTACAGCCCGGGAGAAAAAAAAAATTGAATAAAAGAATTACCTCGCGCGTCCATCTGATGATTGATTACTATCCTCACACAACAAAACAGCCCCCATTATGAACCTATTGGTTGATGACGCTGGGGAGATCTTCGAATTCCTCCAAGGTCAAGGGCGGTACATCCTCCACATGCTGCTGGAGCTGCAAAACGACTTCAAGGAAGTTTTGGAACCTCCTCCCTAGGTCTGGATCAGTGCCAACCCAAACATTCTTGTGTCCCTCTCCCCAGTCCTTCCTCCGAGTATGCGGATTCACCTGGTTCATGGCCGAATCCCAGTGCTTGCCATAAAGCTGAATGCCCCACTCCATTTTCGCCTTCAGTCTCGTCTTGAGCCCTTTCCAAATCTGGGTTATGCTGATCTCTAGGATATAGGGAGTGCCATGAAGTTCGATGGCGAATGTCGTCTTCAGGCGAGTTTCCAATATCTTGTCTTTCCACTCCCCGGCTTGGCCGACTGCCACCTCGCCTGGTTTGAGAAAGTCGCCCGTTTCTTCGTATGTAGCTGGTATAAGACGCAGCTCCTTGATAAGTTTGTCGATGCCAGCTGGTACACTCTCAAAATTGTATGCATCTGCTCTGATGCCCCAATCAAGCCCCCTAAACCGGTTTAGATTAACACAGAGAGCGCAATTGACGATCCTTGGGCAGCTTACATATCCGGGGTGGCCACCACCCAGTTGAGCCACTTGGTTGGGCAGGCAATGCCCATCTTTGCTCGGGAGGTATCAAAGCTACCATTCTCGCAGCTTTCTAAATATACCACTTTCCGTTGCAACCCCAAGGCCAAGGCATATGTTCGCTTTATGGTATTGTGATCCAATTGAAGGCCGCCATCCCCTTCCAAGGCTAAGAAATGCTTTATAATGTGATTTGGGAGCTTGAGCTCGTTCAACCTTGAAGTCCGGTCAGCAAGGAGTGTGATGAGAGACTGATATGGAATGATTACCTGTCAACCAGTCCGATGCCTCCTCGAATTGAGAAGGACTTTGCCGCTTCCATGAATCCATCATAACTGAGCACACTATTCATGCCTTTGTGCTTCACAAACACCTTTAATTCCCCGAAACTCACACGCATCCTGAGCTCAGAGTCCACACTCATTGCGCACTCTGTGGAATTGAGGAGATGCGGGCGAAGGCGTTGGAGCAGTTTCGCCGCAGTTCTTTTTATATCCGATGATCCAGACAGCGGCGTGATTACTTTGGGCCTTGAATTGGGCGCCACTGATATGCGGGCGTCTTCGGTACATCTGGAACTTTGCTGGACGACAAGCACTGTGGCGAGAAGCTCTTTTTGCAGGCGCAGGTCGTGCACAGTTTGGTTGAATGCATGAACAGCTTCTTGCAAACCAGATGCCGACTCACTATAAATATCCCAGGCTTGGGTATCTCTAACCCTGGTGATCCACACGCGATGTTGTTTGCGAATGCCATCCAGTATGTCGGGATCCTCAATCGCCGAAGGGTATACTTCCCATGAGGAAGCGAGCACATATCGGGCCTCATGGAAGAGTCAGCAGCTTTCGAGTAATCACAATAGAAGGAGATATCAAAGGCACAATGCGGGAGAGCTGGTGGTATCACTTACTCGTATCACCTCTCGGTCTGTTGGTGGCTCGCCAAGATAGGATTCTTTGTTTGTAAGTGAAGCCTCCAGTCGCTTGTCGTTCACCTGAGCTTTGGCAGTTGGCATTTTCTTCGCTACCACCCATCCTTCCTTTGGTCCTTGAGTCTGTCGATTTTGAGGGTGGCCATTATTGCCATGATTGCGACGGTTGTCCCCCACGGGAACCCATGGAGTCGCTCGACCCTTGCCTTTGTTCATGGTATTTGTTTGCTGGGGGCCAGAGAAAATTGAAGGGTAAGAAGAAGAAGAAGAAAAGGAATATGGGACGTGATGATAAGGGAAATCCAAGCACGAGAGAGTCAGGTGCGGGTTGATTTAAGTTGTTTCCTGTTGATAGGGAGAGCCTGAGGCACCACTGCTGATGAGATGAAAAGAGAGAAAGGCCCTGGGGAAGAGAGTGAATAAGGTACATTCCCTGGAGGTCATGGTACCAGATACCTTAGGTACCGCTATCTCGTGAATCAGGCTGTATTTTGCATGCAAGTTGCCTTCAACGCCCACCTGACAAACGGCGTTTGCTCCGTTTACACACATGTGTGCGTCAGAATGCTCTGTAAAACTGAATCAAGAGGTCTATCTTTTTCTTGGATATATTGATACTCTTCACAATATGCGGCCTTGTTATTTTTCTCTTTGGTCATCAATGGTGAATAGTGAATACATAATGTTATCACTGTTACCAAAGTATTAATTGCCGTTTGATAAGGCACTTTGCGCAGCCCTTCGTTCGAGTCGATCACGGCCATCCCTTAGGTTTCGCAGATATAAATTCTACATATTGCACCGATAATACAAAAAGTATTATTCATACATGATAGCATTGCATTTGTTTTTAAAGAGTTTGTCCACGTCATCTGTTATTCCTCTCCAAGGACGTATAAGAGGCTCATGCCAAATAGACCGAAATATGCATCAATTGAGTATGCATCTATCGAGTTTCTTCCAACGCGTCTCCCCCAAAGCTAGACGCGTTAATTGATCCAAGCTACCCTGCGACCAGAAAAGCAGCAGCAGTTCAGTAATAATTTCCACGTTCCATAATCTAACAGATATTTGAATGTTGTCACTACCAACATCAATTCTAACAGCTCGACAGATCACACTCGGCAACAATCTCAGGTTCCTTGATCTATTCAGCGGCTACTATAGTTCTCTGCTCACTACAAGTTACAATTATCGACGCCGTTATCAATGCCAGCCCAAACCACCTCTCAAACCAACACTCAATCTACCCGCGGGCGCAAGCGGGCTCTTTCTACCACAGAAACTCGAGAAAGCTCACAAGACAGTGCAGAAAGCGAAGAAGTGCAGTGGGAATGGATATACAACACCGAGCAGGCAGAACACGGCGACGATGAGGGCGATCGCAAAAGGAGAAAAGTCACGGCCAGCTCCAAGATTATCGGCGCTCGGTATGGCGACTTTGAATGTCACGTTGGGGACACGGTGATGCTCAAGGCCGATGGATCTAATGGATCATGGGTGGCCATCATCTGTGATTTCCGGGAGGACGCTGAGAACGAAGGGATGGCTGCCAATTTTATGTGGTTTTTGACGGAGAAGGAGATTCTTAACAAGGACAGAAAGCGAAAGGACTTTTACTGGGTAAGCGCAAACGCCATGCTTTTGTGTTGTGTCGCTATGGCATCCCTCTCCTAACACATGGTGCAGAATGAGCTCTATATATCACCATCCTGGGATGTGAATCCCCTGGCTTCGATCGACGGAAAGGCCAACATCATGTCACTGGATGCCTTCCTCAGCTCGTACCCGTCTGGCAAGATCCCGCGGAACTCTCCCGACTATGGAAAGACATTTGTCTGCCGGCGCGGCTGCAACACTCGGTCAACAACATACACGGATGAATTTACATGGGAGGAGGTGTATCAGAACGGACAAGATGTGCCAGCACTGATTGAAATGGTCGAGAAAAACACCAAACCAACTCGGCGCAGAGCTCGAGCACAATCACCGCCAGACGGCGACACATATCTACCGCCTCAAACACCTACCAAAACAGGAAGAACCCCTGCAACCACCCCCAAGTCGAAGCGAGGACCAAGGAGCGCCTCCAAGAAACTCGAGTTCACGCCGTTGGCCACCCGGAAGCTGTCGCCGAGTCAGGTTCAAGCTTCTCCATTTCAGATCGCCCGTTCACGGCTCCACGTCGCAGCTGTTCCCTCCAGTCTGCCGTGTCGTGAAGGAGAATTCTCGCTCGTATACTCGCATCTAGAAGCCGCCATTACTGAGGGTACTGGTAACTGTATCTACATTTCTGGAACACCAGGCACTGGAAAGACGGCCACTGTGCGAGAGGTCATCTCTCGCCTCGAGGAAGCTGTCGGGTCAGACGAGTTGGATGATTTCATCTTCGTCGAAATCAATGGCATGAAGATTACGGATCCTCACCAAGCGTACTCGCTGCTCTGGGAGGCTCTCAAAGGTGATCGTGCCAGCCCGGCCCAAGCCCTCGATCTTCTGGAACGCGAGTTCAACAACCCAAGTCCAAGACGCATTCCATGTGTGGTGTTGATGGATGAACTTGATCAACTGGTCACAAAGAACCAGGCAGTCATGTACAACTTTTTCAATTGGCCAACCCTCCGACATAGCCGCCTCATCGTACTCGCCGTAGCCAACACAATGGATCTACCAGAGAGAACGTTGAGCAACAAGATCAGCAGTCGTTTAGGTATGTCTATAAAATTTAACATTAATCAGACAGAGACTGTGTGACCAGAAGCTAACCACCTCGACACAGGTCTTACTCGAATTACGTTTCCAGGATACAATCACGAACAGCTCATGAAGATTATCCAGTCCCGTCTCGAAGGTGTACCGGGGAATATCGTCGACGCAGACGCCGTCCAGTTTGCCAGCCGCAAAGTAGCCGCTGTCAGCGGAGACGCCAGACGAGCGTTAGACATCTGCCGTCGAGCCGTTGAACTCGCCGAGGGCGATGCCCCGGGAGACCCCATGACACCAAGCAAGAGAGCTCCGGACAGCGGAGCCCCTGACCAGTCGCGGCGCGGAAGAGTCACAATCTCCACCATCAAGAGGGCCATCAACGAAGCTACAACGAATCCTATACAGCAGCACCTGCGCGGCCTCCCGTTGACGTCCAAGATGCTCATGGCCGCGCTGATTCTGAGAATTCGGCGGTCCGGCTTGGCTGAGACGACGCTTGGCGAGACTTTGGATGAGCTCCAGCGAGTGGCGGCTTTTTCGGCCAGACCTCCCCCCGGCATGGCCCAGATTCTTCCCGGACTGGCCAAGGGGACGCAAGTTGTCGGCCGACGCTTGGTAGGGCGGCCGATGTACATTCATACAGCTGCCCTGGAGCTCGTGGCGGCTGGATTGGTCAATCTGGAGGCCCATCGTGCGGACCGATCGAGCAGGTTGCGGTTAGCTATTGCGGATGATGAAGTGAAGATGGCGCTGCGTGATGATGTCGATCTCAAGGCCATGGGTCTAAGTGTTTAGATGGAACAGTCTAGCTCCATCTATCTAATCACCCATGTTTTCAGAGGGAACACAGATGTGAAAAAGAAGCCTTTCCTCTGCCTTTTAGCATATCTCTTATAATGCAGCCTTTGGTGTGTTTGGATACCAATGGTGGAATAGCGATGATGCCATGATCTATAGAAAAAGAAGATGCTTTGGGATCAGTTATCCAGTTTTTTAAGCGTTCAGCATACATTTTTTTTCATGGCACAATACATCACGGAGTTTTTGATGACTTCCCCGATTCTCTCAGAGGTCATATAACAGTCATGCATAGCGTAATTAAAATGTTTCTTTTATCAACATGAACCAAAATTCGAAAAGACTTCTGCCATCATGCCCAGCTATTTCCCAAATATGCATAAAAATATCCGTGGGCATACACTTCTCCGCCTGTGATATCCCAGAGCGCAGCGCAGGATCTATTCTTACTGCCCGTCGCCGTTTGATATATAAAATGGTTTCAGACGATTAACATTAAAAAAAACAAGACGCCCATAAACTCCCGGCTAAAATTTCCTGTGTGCCAATGACGGCGTCCATTGTATCGGATGCGTCTCCTCGGACGCTTTTTCATCTTGTTTCCAGATTTTGACTTGATTTGAGTTAGCATACGACAAAGTAGACGGCGGAAAGATTAAGGAGCACATACTAGTTTTGTCAGCCTCGCCTGTGATGAGACGCAGACCAGAGCGGTCAAATGTTGAGCTCATGATTCCTGATTCGGCATCTAGGGAGCCGGGTTGTGCGGTTGTGTCCATGGATTGGAAGCGATAACCAGATTTCCAGTCCCAGAAGCTCATTGAGCCATTGTCGCCTAGATTATGCAGTTAGAACATGAATCACAAAACTCCCCCCTTTCCATAAGCCACCGGGGGAAGGGATAAAACATACCTCCTGAGAAGAACACATTATTGCTATTCACACTCATGGTGTTGATAATGGCATTATGGCCCTCAAAGTTTTGCATGAAAGCGCCCTCTGGGCATTTCCACTGCTTGATACCGCTAGTGCTGCCTGATGCAAAGGTGAATTCGGTAGGATGGACGGCGAGAGCCCGGACGCCCTTCTTGTGGTGGGTGAGAACGCCCATGGTCTTTCCGGCCGCCAGATCCCAGAGCCTGACGGTCGAGTCCAGCGATGCCGTGATGACCTGGGGATCCGCCTCCTGACACTTGACGTCCGACACAGTGCCGGTATGGCCCGACAAGACGTGGATGTTGCTTCTCGTGCGCATGTCCCAAACTCGAGCAACACCATCGCGACCGCCTGTGACGAGGACATCCAGCGTGGGATGTAGAGAGAGCGTGTAGACGCCGCTGAGGTGGCCGTGATAGTGACGAATCACCTTGTTCGTCTCCAAGTCCCAGCACTTGACCATCTTATCCTCGCCACAAGAAAACAGGTATGGATGTCGTGGAGACACAGCCAGACCGCGAACAGTGCTGATGTGGCCTGTCAAGGTCAATCTCAGCGATCCAGTAGCGAGATCCCAGATCTTGATTGTCCTGTCGCCAGCACCACTGGCAAACCACTTGTTCCCCGGCTCGACTGCCAAACTGCGCACCCAGCCCAGGTGGCCCGAGATGACCCTCATCAGCTTCCACGGCGGATGCCACTCGGGCTTGACCTGCTGGATGGCCGGCGACCCTCTCACCGTCAGGCTCATGCTCTGCGGTGTCGTCCCCGATGCTTTCGTCGTCGTAGATTCGCCTCCGTTGGCGGCCGATGAAGATGGTGCCGCCTCGAGAAGCTTGGGCGTCTTGCGCGGCGGTGCTGCTGCGCCCGTCTTTGCCGTTTTCCGCAGCGCCTGCTTCGATGGCTGCTTGGCGGCGAGGGCCTCGGGCAGCGTCTGCACAGCGGCGTATTCGGCCTCGAAGCGCCGCTTCATGACGGCATCCTCAAAGACGCCCTCGAGCTTCTGGCGCTTGCCGTTGGCCAATTCGAGGCGCGAGTACAGATTCCGTGTCGCGGCCGCATTCTGAGACGCGAGAGCGCCGAGGTGAAGCGCGTCTTGCGGCGTCTGTGGTGCCTCCATGGCGGATGAAAAGAAAAAAAAAGAGAAAACGAGAAGAAGGCTGGAGTTGGCGATCCGCGTCTTGGAAAGGAAAAGCAGCAAGAGGCGAGTTTGAATTGAAATCCGGTTCAGCCTTCTGTGGCGCAGGCTGTGGTGTAAAAGGGTGGCTCCAGCTCAAGCCTGTGGCGCAAGCATCCAAGGCTAAAAGCAGCAAAAGCTACCAACAAGCACATACGCAATACAGCGGCGGCCTACCCTGGAGACTGTGATTGCAAATCCGGGCAACGTTGGAGTTTGTCAACTTCTCTGCTTCACGGTCCCAGGATCATCTTTCTTCTGCACCTTTTCATCTCATCTCATACATCTTCCCTCCTTTATAGATTCCTTATACCGCCATCGCCGTCATGGCTGACACAGAAAGTGATCGGTTTCCTCTGCACAAAGCTGCTAGAGAAGGCAGAGGTATTGCAACAACCATTCACTCTCAGCTTCAACGCAACGAATAACATGGCTAACGCAACCTTCAGTGGCTGCAGCTGAAGGACTTCTCAAGGCAAGTCATCAAATAGACGAGATACACATCTTATCTATATCTATATATCTGCGTGTATAAGAAGCATCAGCGTCAACTCAAAATGCCAACACATCTCACAGACAGATCCCAAGCTCTCAAAGCGCAAAGACGATGACGGCAGATACGCAATCCACTGGGCAGCCTCGTCCAACAACCACGAGATTGTCCTCCTCTTGGCAAACCAGGCAAGCTTCGATCCGGATATTCAGGTACAGCATGATTGCAGCTCCAACTCAACTCCCTCAACTCATTTTGCTCATATGCATATATGACATGACAGGACGACAGCGGCTGGACCCCCCTCATGATCTCCGCCAGCGTCCCCAACAGCGAGCCAGTCCTAAACTTACTTCTTTCAAGAGGCGCCGACGTCAACATCAAGAGCAAGTCTCACTCTAAATCACATCCCCTTGATTCATTTCCCATCTAACAATCTTCATCTATACAGACAACAACGGCCAAGTAAGTCAAAGAATTATCCCATTCCACGAGAGAAGACGATATCTCAAATAGCCTACCGTATATCAGGTTCCATCGCTAACCCAAAACCCCCAGACGGCCCTCCACTTCGTCGCCTCCAAGAAGAACCTCGACGTCGCCCGTCTTCTCATCGACTCCAAGCCCCCAGCTTCAACACGCGTCCGCGACCGCCGCGGCCAGTACCCCATCCATCGCGCCGCGGCCGTCGGCTCAGTGCCCATGGTTATGCTCCTGCTCAAGAACAAGAGCCCCCTGAATGCTGCTGACAATGAGGGCTACACGCCGCTCCACCATGCTGTTGCAGAGGGTCACGGTGCGTTGAGCTCTCATGCTTTGTTCATTCACTTCTATTATTTGACTTGGGCCGAGTTTTTTTTGCTACTGAGAATGAGATAAACTAATACGTGCGTGTTTATAGGAGACACTGCTGTTGCTCTGCTGAGAGAAGAAGCCGACTTCACACTCAAGACCAGCGACGGAGAGCTGGCCATTGATTTAGCTCCGGACAAAGAAGTAAGCGTCTCTCAATAACACCGTCTAATCTGATAGCCTTCAAGTAACATGAATCAACACTCTGCAAACAGGTTCGCAACTTCATCATCCAAGGCGCTGAGAGAGAAGGCATCCAGCTAGTCGATTAGCTTCCCAGCCATATGTATAGTAGTAGTAGTAGTCAACCAGCCATAATCTAACATAATACATAAAAACAATGTACAAATCTAATTTACAGCTGCTGCCGTACCTGTCATTTCACGTCATAGTGCTTCATTACCTTCTTCTTTTCTCCCCCCCTTTTCCTATTAAACGACGCCGTCCATCCATTTCACTTACTTTACTGTCCGCTCAATCAGCTCCCGATACATCGTCTTGACATCATCCACATCTGCCCTCAGCTCATCAACCAGCTCGCTCTTCTCCCCCAGCAGCTCCAGCGTAGTTTGATATCTTGTATCCAAATCAGCGACTTGCTTCTCCAGCTCTGGCACCCTTGCGGACGCTGCTTTTGCGTCTTCTAGTTCCTTCATCAGGGCCACCATGTCTCCTCTTGCCTCGTCTCTCTGGCTACACACCCTCGCCATCTCTTCCTTGGCCGCCACTCTTTCCGCCTCTAGACGACGTATCGCGGCACTCATCCTTTCCACCAACTGGACCGACGGCCCCGCCGCTACCGTCGATACCGAAATCATGTCTTGCGCGAGATTACGGGGAGACGAGGGGGCAGTATCGCTGATTCCATTCTCCCTCTCCATTACGGACGGGGGCAGCGCGGGAGGTGATCCCAACGGCGGGTCCAGAGGAGAGAATGGAGATGGTGGGATAGACCCGGTAAGTGAGAATGTTCCCGTTCCTGTTCGGGTCGGGAGATGCGTGGGAGGTCGTCGAAGGATGCCGAGCCCTTCTCCTACAGCATCCGTTATACTCACAGGGGTAGGTGACCGTCGTATGCGGTTGGGGACGGACAATCCGACGGCTTCGGAGCTGAATGTTCGTGGAACGGAGAGTAACGGCGACTCTGGGCGACTCTGGTTTCGCGATGTTGCTACTGCAACTTCATCGGCCCACTGTCGTCCTGTCTCGGCTGTAAAGGATCTGCTCGCTGCTTGCTTCTCCTTTTCTAGATCGGAGCGTGTTTGTTCGAGAGCCGTCTCTGTGGCTTTGGTGGACTTTTTGAGAATAGCTAACTCTTCGCGGCAAGCCTCCAGCTGCAGTTGGACGTCTTGCAGCTCATCCTCGAGAGTTCTACCGCGTTTGGCCTGTGAGAGCAGAGTCGAGTTAGCATCAAGTTCACTGCAAGGACTAAATGAGGATTCAGAGTAAAACTGACCGCATCTCGCGCTTTTTTACGCATTTCCGACTCGCGGCGCTCAGCTTCGTCCCTCTCCCTCTCCAGGCTTGTTGTCTTTGCCATTAAAGACGCCTCGATACCCTGCCAATTTTGCCTGGCAGAGGCATACTGAGACTGCAGCGTCTCTATCTGCCGGAACAGCTTCATCTGGGCTTCACCGCCTGTGCTCGAAGCCGCTTCCTCTGCCGTCACCCGTACGCCTTCTAGCTTGCTCTCCATGTTCTGGAGTTCAAGCCGTAGCTCGGCTTCGACGGTGCTACCGCGCTGGGTGGCGCGCTCGAGCTTCTCGCCCCATTCTATGGCGTCCAGACGGGCTTTCTCGCTGAGGGCTTCCAACTCTGCTCGAACGGCATCATTGGCATCTTCGAGCTCCTTTTGCTTCACCCGCTCTGCGGCAATCGCCTTGCTTAGAGCATCGGCCTTGGCGACCTCACCCTGCTCCTCTTTGGCCCTGACTTCCTGTTCAAGTCGGCGTATGGCCGCATCTTTATTAGTGTTCTCCTTCTTTAGACTGTCAATTTCCTTGCGTAGGCTCGTGGTGGCCTTTATCGCCTCTCGTCGACGCTTTTCCTTCTCTTCATCTCCGTCCAACCGGTTGCGCAGTGCCTCAACATCCGATACTGCCTTATCCGTTGCCTTGCGTGCCTCATCCAACTGCTTGTCGCGTTCACTTATTTGAAGCCGCAATGTCTTGATCAATGTTCGATACTTGTGATCTGCTCCGGCTAGCTTCTGACCTTCTTCCATTAACAGCGCGATCCTTTCATCTTTTTCCGCTAGCTTCTTTTCCAGGCTGCCGGATGGGGCTGAAGATGCAGCTTTGTTTGCCGTTTCGGCGGCACTCTTGGAAAGATACTGGATTTTGGCCTGTAAAGAGTCGATGCGTTCGGCGTACTCTTGGATCTCCTCTCGGTGTCGCAATTTGGCCTCCTCCAGCTCGCGAGAAACTTCGGACACATCAGCTCCATTCTCTACCACTGGCACTGTTACCGGCTCGTTGTGTGTTGGAATTTCATTTTCGACCGGGGGTGGAGATTCGACTTCCCCCTCTTCTGCAGGTGCTTCTTCAGACGCCGGTTGCGCTTCAGTCTCGGGAAGAGTATCGTTTGTCTCATCAGGAGCGGGTTCTAGTACAACCTCGGCAGTCGTATCCTCGTCCGTTATCGTTATCGGTATTGGTATTGTTGTCGTGGTTGTAGTCGTCGCCGTCGTAGAGGTATCAGTAGGGGCAGAATCGACAGCAGTTTGGGCAGACTCGGGTTCGGGTTCGGGTTCGGGTCTCTGATCCGGTAGAGGCTCAGACCTGTCCCCCTTGTCCATCGAGGGCCTCTCCATGGAGCTTCGGCTGGCCACATCGATCGAGCTGCGTGGTGAGGCATTCGCCCGATTGTCTCCTGCCGCAGGCGCATTCTTGCCGGCCATGGCCTTGGCCAGCCTCGCCTGTAGCCGATCATTGGCGCGGTTGGTCGACGACGCTCGAGAGTTTGCTGTGCGGATTGCCTGGTTAGCCAGCTGCGTGCGTGCTGAAGCCTTGAAGAAGATTGGAAGCATTGCCGTTTCCCCTCCCCCTCCTCGCCTTGTGCTTCTTCCTACCTCTCGACACGTCACCTCATCCACATCTTCGGCACTTACCAGAGCTCGTCACCTTGGGACTGGCAGTTGCCGCTGCCAGTCCAGCAGCTGCAGGTTCTCCTGCACTGCGATCATCGTCCGACTCGGCCAGAATCGTATCCAGGCGCGACTCGACACCGGCCACGGCCTGCTGCAGAAACGAGCCCCATCGCGCCGCCATGGTCTAGAGAAAGCCCCAGGCGAGGGGACCAACCGAGATCCAGTGCTTTAGTTACGACTCTGCGATGCGATGCGTATGAGGTATTGATTGAGTAAAGCAACGTCTGCGTCCCCTCGGCCCCTGGAGGCACAAGGGCGTCAAGGGAACAAGAAAAGGCACAGTTGGTTTCCTTTGATGCCCACGCAATGCAATGCAATTAATTGGATTTATTTTGGCACAGGTTGCAACGAGGCCCGCGCCACGCCACCCGGAAAAGGCGAGGTTTGGCAGCGGCTCCGGGCCCAGTGCCAGCTAGTAATAAATTCGATCCGGCGATTGTCGATTTCGGGGGCCCCTCTTCTTCTTTGTCTCTTTTTTCCCGGACATGCCACCTTTGGAGTGCCTTGGTAGACAACTAGAGTATGATGGGTTGGGGGGTAGAAGCTGACACGCGTACTCGTATGTGCATGGACGGCTGTGCATTTTGTAAGTTAGTACCTTAGTAGGTAGGTACTAAGGTAGTTGTCGTTGGCCGCTAACCTGAGGTATCTACGAGTACTTCCTACTGAGCCTGTTAATTCACTTTTATTACCAGCTTAACCGATGCATGATAGCGTATACTTGTAGGTACTGTTGAATATTCGAGAGATATCCGCTCAATGTGTAATTTATATAGATGAACAACGCTCTCTAGACCATTGTGACTTGCTGGTTATATGTAGCGAATTTTGCCTCTGAATCAGGCTCAATGCCGACTTCTCGTACCACCACCATGGCGAGAACGCAAATATTCGGGCTGCCACATTACGTTATTTACGGAGTACAATGCAATTCAGTACAAGGAGGTGGGGAACAGCTAAACCACCATCACCAATCCCATCCAATCCGGAGTGCAGCAATCATATATTGCAATTACTCTCACGAATACATTCCATTCGTTGTCTCTTCTACTCCCCATCATCATACAACAGCCCCCCAGATTCACTGTATACAATGACACAATTTGACACGTATCAAATGTCAAAGCGGGTGGCCCGTTTGCCCGGTCAAAGCAACACAAATGCGCTACTGCACAAGGTACATATTCCTTGGACACAATCGATATAATTTGCGAGTACAAGACTCCAAAGCTACCCGGATACCCACTGCGCGTATGCAAGATAAAGAAGAAAAAAACAGTTATGCGAGGCAATTTGCAGCATTCATCTCATGACAATTGATACACCTGGTCTCAACCGACCGGGAAAAAAATCCAAAAAACCCACAAGCCTCGTTCGTACAACATGTCGACATCGCCGGCGAAAGTGAAAAAGAAAGTGAAAAGAAAAACAAACATCCCCTCCATCTTACACTATACCGGGGTAGAGATGACTGCAGATATCCTGGATGGACTGGTTTCCATGCAGGGCGTCTCCGACATCCCGGAAAGAATCGGCAGAACTGTAACATGATACCGCTTCCATAGCGGCGTCCGGATTTCAATCATTCATCATGGCAATAGAAGCAAGAAAAACAGATATGTGAGAGAAGCTGAAAGAGAGAGAAAAAAGAATTAAAGAAGAAAAAAAAATAGATCAAACTCGCTCGCTCATGGTCCATGCGACTCTCCACTTCATCCAAATCTTCGCCACCAGCTGCTTCGAGGCTGATGCTCTGCGGCTGCGGATTCCCGTCGACTGCGATGGCGCTCATCGCTTCCGTCCGATGCGCCATTGCGCTTCTCTCGCTCTCTTCGTTCTCGCCTCTCTCGGCGGCGTCTCTCGTCTGCATCCTCCACAGGCACTTCTTCGTACTTGGCCTTCCGCCGTGCGCGCCGGGCCTCGCGCCGGGCTAGTTCGTCGTCTTCCGTATACGGCATCGCATCTGTTGTATGTCCGGCATCGTCCAGATGCGGAGGGGGATCCGAATGCTCCTTGACCCATGACGATGTCCCGGAGTGTGGCCACGTTGTCACCGGCGCTCTCTTGCCGTCTCGTCGACGTTCCTTGGCTGGGTAGACGTGGTCATCCATCGCCGGCTCCGTATATCGTCGACTGCTCTTTCTCGGCCTTTCATATGCTGCTGCAGCCTCAGCCGCCGCCGCCGCCGCCTCCTCCTCAGCAGCTTTGGCGGCACGCCTTGCCTCACGTCTGCGCTGTCGCTCGGCGGCTTCGTCCTCAGATGGATCTGGATGAGATCTACGCCGCTGGCGCTTGGATGCTCTCAGCGCCTCTTCCTCCCTCTCCCTCTCCCGCTCCTTCTCCCTTTCCCTTTCTTTGCGAAGGCGATGCCGCTCGGCCTTTCGAGCCTCTCGATCTTCGGCCTTTCGAGCTCCTCGATCTTCGGCTTTTCGAGCTTCTCGATCTTCGGCTGCGCGACGCTCCTCCTCTTCGCGATGACGAGCCGCACGTCGTTCGCGGCGAGCTTCCTTTTCTTCAAGCTTGCGAGTTTCGCTATCGTCTCTGCGCTTTCGTCGCCGTTCACGGTCGTCAGCGGGGCGTTCTGCTTCTCGCTCCGGCTTCCTGCTCTTGCGGCTTGATACCCGTGGAGCTTCTCGATCAGTGTCCACCACGGGTATATCAAACTCTACGCCAGTCTCAACTTTAGATGCTCTGGGCGTCATGAAGCCGCTGAAAAGCCCAGACAGTCCTGTCTTCTTCGACAGCGAGGCTCCTCGCCGTCTGCCTGCCTGTTCAGGGCTGGGGGGATCCGTTGTGATGAATTCCTCATCACGAGACCTTGTGCTTCGATGTCTTTCGTGTGGGTGAGCCACATGGACATCGGCGTCGAGAGCACCCGTCATGACGATATCCTCATCCTCCTGGAGGTTCGTCTTGCGAGATCTCCTTTTTGAGCTTGAATTGTCGAAACCGAGAATCTTGGCCGCTTTTGACGTTACGTCGGGGATCTCCTCTGGAGGTGGAGAAGCAAGACCGTGATTGCCAATGGAATGTCTCCTGGAAGGCTTGCCGCTGCCATTTATACCTGATGGCCGCTTCTCCTTTTCTCGCGTAGACATTGATCTGACCCGGTGCCCTGAGGACCTGGGTGGTCTTTCTACTTGTTCTACCCTCTCTGAAGCGGAGTCCCTAGAAGATGTCTTTTCCATTGCCCGCCTGGAAGATTTTTCTGACTTGTGCTTTGACGATCTCTTCTCCTCCCTTTCTCTGCGAGGAGGGGATGCCACCGCTGGCCATTTCTCTTTTTCTCGGCTAGATCTCGACCTTTCTTTCCTGGAGGATTTCGGCTCCGGCGGCGGCGTCAAAGGTGGATCAGGAACTGCAGGCGGAGGAGGAGGTGGTGGAGGAGGAGGCATCGGGGCCAATTGCGGAGGAGGAGGCGGTACCACTATATCCTCTCTGGGGCGGCGTTTCTTACTCTTCCTCTCCTTCCTTGGTGCTTCGTCGACGATGGCAATTATCTCGTTTTCATCGTCGTCGTCAGGGAATGTGCCTGGAACATCCGACTCTCGCCGGCGCCTCCTGGGCAGGTCCCTATCTTGTGCGATGATCGGCTCTTCAGCCTTTGTTCTTCTCCTGGTACGACCTTCTTGTGGTGGCTCGTTCTTGGCGACAGGTGGTTCTTCCACGTCATCATCTCCATATTGCAAATCTTCAACCGCCTGTTCAACGTTAGCTGCTAGTTCTTTCTTGGCCACCTGTTCATCATCTGCCGCTTTTCTTCCATGTCGATCCGCGGGTTTCACTTCGGTATCCGAGTCTGATGCTGGTGGTGGGGATGGTGGGAGGGTGGGACGAGCTACTTCTTCCGGTGCTTCTTGGAAAGCCTTGAGGCCGATAGCGATTTTGCCGCCCAGAGACTGTGGCTGTTCCGACGATTTTTGAGATGCATTATCAACCGATCTTGTCTCTGGTTCCTCTAAAGTTGCATTTCTGGTCAGTAAATTCCTTTTAATGTCAGTATAGTGAAAGCCAACAAACCTTGTGGCTTTGGCTTTTTAGAGCCGCCGAGACCCCAGAAGCTGAATGCGCTTGATGCGTTCGTCTCCTTGGGTGCAAGTAGCTCCTCTATCTCCGCAGGGCTCATGTCAAAGTCAGGGTCTGGCTTGACACCTGTTTCCGCTTTCTGCTCTGTACTCGGCTCTGCCTCTCCTTCGGATGGGAGATCTCGAGACTTCTTGTCTTTCTTGTCCTTCCTGTCTCGTTTATCCTTCTTGTCGTCCTTTTCCTTCTTGTCCTTCTTGGAGCTCTTCTTTAACTTCCTCGCAGCCTCTTCAGCCTCGAGGGCAGCCTTCTCTTCGGCCTCTCGAGCTACCCTCAGCTCTTCTTCGCGGGCAGCTTGCTCCTCGGCCTCACGGGCAGCTTGTTCTTCTTCGGCCGCTCGAATGGCTTCTTCGTCGTCATCGGCATCAATGTCATTGTCGTCGTCAGCATCGACATCGTCGTCATCATTGTCGTTAGCATCATCAGCTGCTTCATCACTATCGTCTTCGCTATCCTGACTGGCGTTGGCAGCCAGCTCAGCTTCCCGGGCGGCCTGCTCTTCCTTTCTCTTTGCCGCCTTCTCTCGAAGATGAGATAATCGTTCGCCGTCCTTCTTCGATAGTTTGCCTTTCCTATCCTTCTTACGAAGCAAGTCGTCTACTTCCTTTTCCTCTTCGGCAATTGCGGCCTCCTCCTTGGCAGCCTTCTCTGCTTCGTATGCAGCTTGCTCTTCGGCTTTACGGGCCGCTCTCTCTTCAGCTTTCGCCTGGAGCTCGTTCAGTCGCTGCTCTAGTTTGCTTGATAAGCCCATAAACGAGTTATGTTTCTTGTCAAGGAGTCGCTCTATTTCTTCCTCTTCTTCGGCGATTGCAGCTGCCTCTATGGCCTCCTGAGCGGCACGCTCTTCTGCTTCCTTGGCCGCTTCCTCAGCTTCTCGAGCAGCCTGTTCTGCAGCTTCTGCAGCTTCTCGATCAGCCTTCTCTTTCGCTCGCTTTGCCGCGTTTGCTTGCAATTCTTTCAACCTTTGCTCTGATTTACTCGACAAGCTTTTGAACGAACTGGTCTTCTTCTTCAGTAAAAGAGCCAATTCTTCCTCTT